TAAAGTTTCGTCTGTGAATGAAAGCAAGAGCACATAAACCAGAGTGTGCAACTCGGGATGGTTCCTGTGGGAGCGTAATTCGTGCAGTACGTCATTTCTGACGGCATGGTAAGCCACAGGTACGGTGAAAAGTTGCGTAACCAGTCCCGGTGGTGCAAGTCACTGAGTTTGTCCTGATTTCGGTTTTTTGATACAGATAGCCTGGTGAATTTACTTGTCGGTGGATGTACGCAGCGTACACAGTCCCATAAAAACACCAATATCCTGAAACATGACGTCTAAAATCAAGCAAACGTGGCTGATTTCCGGGCTATGAAACACGAAAATTAGAGCTGTACGCAAGTCGGGGCTTGGCTGATCTCGTCAGGGTGATGTAGTGCACAAACTGCGCAGTTTCAGATCTGATATGCACAGTTGCACACTCTGGTTTATGTACTCTTGATGAAAGGCTATAGAAATCGCCATTCCAGGATTTCTTTGGGTCGGCAGGAGTACCGTAGGACGATAATAAATTCCTCCAGACTAAAATTTCTGCACTCTAAATCCGGAATATTTGTTGTCCATTTTAATTACATATTCATATGCTGGATTTCTGCAGGAAATTGAAATGCGTATGAAAACCCCCAGCTTCATTCGCACTGGTGGGGCTCATCATCTCTGTACAAGTATTAGTTGTACTTCAATGTATGTCAATGGTTCTGGAGATTTATAGTACGAAATTGTTTTTATAGGGTACCTCACTTCAAACTCTCCAACTACGGTCTCTTCGCTGCATACGTTCACTTCACTTCCAAAAAATATATATAATATTAGATACAAATGGAATGCACCAAATTTTCGGGCATGGCCCATCTTCAGGGTGAAAAAAAACCATTCAACAGAAATTGTTTTTGTTTTTTCAAAGTCGACAAGGAGACAAAATTCTATTGTTCTTACTCTGTACATTCACTTGCCACTGCTTTAGGAGCTGCATCTGCGCCTTGGTCCCTGGGGGTGGTGGCGTTCCTACGGATGCGGAAAACTCGGCCTCCAGCCAAGTCTCACATGAACCGTGAATTTTTTTGTACATTCACTTTACACATCAACTTGTCTAATACTGTACCCTGATATTCTTTGTCCACCACTCAGTGATGTACTCCAACTGAACACACACACACACGCACGCACTACCCCCCCCCCCCCCCACACACACACACAAACACACGCACACACACACACACACACACGCACAAATACTGACCTTGGTCAAGTACTGCAAGGGAGACATTTGGAAGCCAACAGACACAAATATCTGGTCGGTGTCGTACAAGTCACGTCCACCATACACCGCCAATCGACATGCGACTTCCAGACACATCAGCGACACTTGCACGGAAATAGATGGGCAGCGAGGCATCACCGTCACTATAGGTGTCTTACCAATCTTACTGAGAAATGTGGACAAACTTCTCACGAACCAGGGATCTGTCCCTGGTAGTGAACCACTCTGCACAGGATAAAGACAATAGATCAGAAGCCAGATTTGTAAGATACCAGCACTTATTTCGGGCAGTATGTTTATCGGGCTTGACTTGACTCAACAGACAGAGTCAAATGGATGAAGGGGTATTTATTTTGGGCAGGTGCTTATTTAGGAACTTGTGCAGTATTATCACACAAAGGCCAATTTCCAGTGTAACAGTTCAGCAAACGGCAAGTCTCCTCATGTATGGCCTTTGACGGCTGTGAGCAGATTCCTTGTAGCCATTAGGGGCCGTCCAAGGTTACCAACAATATTTTCAAAACGAAATGTTTTCGTTTGTGGGTGGGTGGGTTTGACGGAGTTTCGTTTTGAAAATAATTATTGAATGCTGATGGAGAATGCCCAGTTACGTCTGGGTGTCGAAAATTGACATCAATATTTTATTGGAATTCGTTTTACCTGCAGAAAAGGTGGGTGGGTGGGTGGGGCTGAAAAATACTAAAACTTTTCGTTTTGTAAAAACAATCGGTAACCCCGGACGGCCCCTTATGTCATACTGGGCACAATGCAATGCTCTCCATACACACAACGTACCTTTCCCGAGAAAGCTCTAAATGAGGTGACTTCCAAGCAGCGTACTTTTGAATTATCAACACCGAGTCCTTGCAATTGCAGCATAGCAGAAGGTATGGCGAGCTTAACTGATAGTGCTTGCAAAAAGCTGGTTGGCGAAGAGAGAACGCATGCACTGCGAAGCGCAACAGACTGGTAACTCCTGGCCTGGGCAAGTGGAATTAGAATAGCAGGCACAGTAACGAACAAAACAAAAACAATTCAGGGCTACACAGGGTGCATGCACTAGGCTGGCATCACGTGTATATGTAGTAACAAATCTATCACATTGTGATGGACGGCACCTGGCTTTGGTATACACACTATACAGTCAACTTTGCGTGTAACGACACTCGGCGGGGCATCAGAAAAGTGTTCTTATTCGCGAAGTGTCCTTATACCCAAAGTCTCATTATGCGTATTACATTAGATGGGACTTCGCTCTGGGCATGGAACTAACTTCTGTCGTTATATCCGCAGTCTTTATTAGCGAAGTTGAGTGTATCAAATACTGGCATGTCCCTTTCCACCGTGCAAATCCTGCAGAGATTTCACGTACCCAAACATGCCCAGGAAAGTCAGCGCCCATGAGCGCAAGCTCTTTTGCACGCTACTGAAAGCCTGCACACACACACTGCACTATTACTGCAGTGGGCAAAAGTACCATTGATCTTTCCCTAACTGAACAAAACAGATTTCCAACAATCAAAGTTGTTTTCTAGTGGAACAGTCTGCTTATAAATATTTCTTCCTATACATGAGCACCCTCCCACGTACAACGGAAATACAGGAAAACAGCATTGAAACATTCATTTGACTGAGGGAGTTGAAGAAAAGCGTCAAGCAGAACACACATTACGTAAGCTACAATGCACCGTGCACAAGACAAAGGAAGCAAGCAACATAATACTTACCTGGGACAATTGATTGCAAATGGTGACCAGCTCATCCAAAGTGTATGTGTCCGAATCCACTGTGCTTGTCACCAGAACCAAATGAGCAATGCTGGTCGTGCTACCAGGCCTCTGGTCCCAGAACAATTTGTGTAGGTCCTTGCAACAAGCAGTCATCCAGCGCTCCCACTGCATTATATCTCCACTGCCTTTCAGATGCGAAAGTCGTGCAATCTTCATGGCTGGCGTCAATGAACCATACTTCAACTGGTGATTCATCTGTAAGCGTACTCGTGACAAAACTGCATGAGCAATTACAGTTGTAGGAGCTAGAAGAAAGACAGGCACCTCAGCGACCAGAAGCTGTAGCAGCAATGCTATGGAATGCGGGCTGGCATCACCAACAAAAGTCACGACTTGCTCCACACTCTCCTTTGATGAACTGAAAGCACTCAGCGAGCGGTTGCTATCAGCTGAACCGGGCCGAGAGTTATTGGCCGAGGAATTCGATGTTCTCAGTGGCAGCGGCGGTGTAAGTCCCTGCGGAGCAGCAGCCTGTTGCTGCTGGCTAGGTTGCGCAGGCTGGGGCTTATCCGAGCCCTTCTTCTTCTTTGTCTTTTTCCGTTTGCGAACTGTGCTGCCGCCGTTCTGATCACTGTTGGCTGCACCCACATCTGATGCATCGCTACAAGGAGAGGCAGATGCTGAACCATCACATGCAGCACTCCTACTGGGTATTGCTAGATTGTCATGCTGCGAATGTGACTGTTGCTCAGCTGGAGAGAGCCAGAGTTGATTCTCAGGCAATAGGAACCTCTGGGCTCTCTGGCTGCACTGGCGCACTTCCAGGAACGAAGACATCAACGAGACTGCCTCGGGTGACAGGGCGAGCACCGTATATGGTTCAGCCGTCAGTGTGCACGCGTCGACAACCGATGATGCCTGCCATGCCCGTAGCATGGCTAGCAAGCAGAGGTATGGCGCTGGAAAGATGCCATGTGACTCCGCATTGATGCGCTGCAGAGCACCATAGTAGACTGCCATCTGCTCAACATGAGTCCAGCATGACCATCGACTAAGATATTTCTGTTTCAGTTTATCTTCACAAGCTGCCAGGGCTGCCTGAACCAGGGTGGGATCATTCAGTAGCCTGATCTCCTTCATATCAGCTACTTCAATCTGCATATGTCCAACCTTATATGATATTCGTCGCTGAGGTGCCTTGTCAGCTGCTGGTTGGTTCTGGCGCATAAGACGAGCACGAGCAGTACCTTTCCCAGCATTGCTGGTAAGCTTACTGCCGGGCTTCGCCGAGCCCTTAGCACCCTTCTCGACAGGACCAACTGTTGAACAAATGAGCTGTCCACCCAGCTTGCCCAGTCTCCATTGTTGAGAGAGCTCCACGATCCAATGGTAAGTGAAGCGCTCACCCTCCTTGCTCTGGCTGTTGTGGAGAAGTGCATCAACAAGACCAATCGACTGAGCTTCCGTAGCACGGATCGTTCTGCCCGTTAAGACTAGCTTTAGCGCTGGTTTGAAGCCAATCAAACGGGGCAGTCGAACACAGCCGCCAAGAGCTTCAGAAGCAGAAACAGACAAAAATAAAAAAAATGAAAGTAAATATTAACAAGAACAGGAACAGCAGTTTTCAGTCGCCGATGCCGGCGGCATATTTACATGCACAGCAATGTGCACGTAATGTTAGTAGACCCAGGTATGTAAAGTCCCACCTGGACAGTAAAAATATTGCTGAGGTAAAACTCACACTAGTGAAGGTCACGTGCCAGAAACTGTGCATTGAACCTAGGCTACTGTATTCGGAAATGCAATTTAAAAAAATTAAACAGTTTTCGTGGAGACAGAAATGAAATCAACGCAATAAGGGGTCGTCGCAAAAGTTTTTTGTCGTCCCTGAAACGAACATGATTCATTTGGGGGAAGGGAGGGGAGGGGGTGCGAGCCAAAATCGCAAGTCGACCGACACTGTACATATGACATGTACATGCATGCAATTTTCGTCGTCCAGCATAGCAAGCTGTGTTCGTTTCAGAGGGAGGGGAGGGGGTCCGAGTACGAAATGAACGATGTTCGTTTCAGGGATGACAGAAAACTTTTGCGACGACCCCTAAGCAGGGTATATTCTAGGACGAATTTCCAACCGGTTACGGTCCAATGAAGAGTGGGGGGGGGGGGGTCGGGGGTACCCCCGGAAATTTTTTTCAAAATACAACCCAAATATGGCACTCGACAGCAATTTAACAGATTTCTTGGCGTTTGACCATTCACAGCTCCATTCACCCACAGAAAAGTACGGGCGGTTGGAACTGATTTGTAACTTTTCAACCGGTCGAAAACCGGTTGGGGCGGTTCTAGAAAATTCCCTGCTAAGTAAAGCAAGTTCTGAAGAGATAGCAACGAAAAACGTTCAAGGAAATCTAACCTGTGCGAATGGGGTGTGTTTTGAATGCGCAGCTTGCCTTACTTATTGCGTTGCAATTAATTTTGTTGGTCAATGAGAAGCTGCCAGTATTACGTACAATAATGTGTGGGGAATGGAGGTAAGCAGTGCATCATAATACTTCAGAAGTAATATTATAGTGAAGACTCGGGCCAGTGAGTCAGGGAGAGGCCATGCATGCGTGTGTGATCAATGCAAGTACACTGTACTGTAGAACATGTTACTTTAAGAAATTACCGGTGCCAGGAGCCTGAGCGTAACTTGAAGGTTGGTGATCAGCATCTGTTATACTACAGGACTGTAAAGTGTATACTCTTGTGCAGCCTGTTAGGCGTAATCTAAATTTGTGGTGCCTGGTTTCTCTACCGAAAATACCAAAATTAATTATGTACAAGGTTGATAAGTGTAGATCGGGAAACCTAGCCTGGCTCCCACAGAGTCTGTAGCAGTACAGCCTGCACAGTGACTGGCCGCACCTACATCATTACAATGTCATGTATGATATTATATAAGCCTTGTTTGATAGGCTAACATGTTGGACGATTGACAGCATGACTCGGCCAACCAGTTTATGGCCGTAGTCAGGAGCACAGTTTTTCTTTCTTTCTGGCACAGTGTGTCTTGTAACTTGTAATACATCTTACAACATGTTGTCAACAGTCCAACACCATCACATGTAGTGTCAATAGATTTACTACCAGTATATCTACTGGCGTCATGGTACTTGAGCAGACAGGCATGTATGTTATGTACATGACATTGTACACAGTGACTGATGATGTGACGTCAGGTGGTTGGTTTCTGGGCTTGCTGCCCCCCCCCCCCCCCACACACCTGACAACCGGCTATTTACCATGATTTATCACTAGTTTACACTAGACACACAGTAGCACTACAATATTAGCTTACACCGGACACCAGTAATGTGAAATGATCTTACCAGGAAGGACGCCGACATGAACTTCCGGCAAGCCCATTCGCCCATTTTGCCAGTCAGCCACACGATAGTCACAGGCTAGGCACAACTCCAGGCCACCGCCCAGGGCAAGACCGTTGATGACAGCTATTGTCGGCACTGCTATTGCCTCGACCAGGTTGATCAGCCCCTGACAGGACATCACTGCTTCTGCGCATCTGTATAGACCAATAGGGGCATGCACACATGCACACACACAGTCATTATGACAGCCGGTTGGGATAAATTGACACGAATACAATAACATGCCATTGAAAATGCTTGTACAAATACAGGAAATAATCATGGTACCAGAAACAGGGTTCTAGCCAGGTCAAAATAGTAGGGGGGGGGGGGGCAAGCAGTCACCCCGTAACCCATTTTTCCATTTGCAAAATATCGGTCTTGCAATGCAAAACGAAACATACTGGCGAACACCTGACATCACCCCAGACAAATGTGCCTCTATGAACCCTCTAGTACTGACTATCAACTGCGTTTTCGTAGAATGGTCTGAAAAAACCCCACAAGAATCGGAAAAAGAGTAGGGGCGGCACTTTTTCACAGGGGGCGCACAAACAGAGTAGGGGGTGCTGCACCCCCCCCCCCCCCCCCCCCTTTGGCTAGAACCCTGCAGAACTAAGGAGCACCATTCTCCCAAGAAGGCTGCACAGTGGTTAGCAAATTGTCTTGCATGCTTTCTCGTCGCAACAACTAGATCCACTAGTTACGTATGGTTATTGTGAAGCAGAGTCATACTCTCAATGCTCGTCACAATTGTATAAGTCACCACTACATCAATGACATCTTTTACACCAGTGTTGTGTCGTACAAAGCGCCACGGGACTGGCAGAGTGAATCTAGACTAGAGTGGTATGATGGGGTGACACTTGCGATATTTTGCATAGCATACCAACCAGGCGCAAGTGATTGCCTACCAGTACTACAGTATACATGTGCCATATTAATTAATGTGATGCGTATGGGGTGCATGTGATTTCTTACACTTGAGGAGAATTCATCTCCAGTTGGTACTCAATGTCCGCACCGACACAAAACGTGGATTTTCCACTGCAGAACACCACTGCTGAGATCTTCTCTTCTCGTGCGAAGCGATGCACAACATCCAGCGCATACCCCAAGCAATAGAAGAATGATTGGGACATAATATTGTGCTTTCCTCGCTGATCGAAGCACACAGCCATGACAGGCAGAGGGAAATCATCATCCTGAATGGTCACGAGGCTAATGACGACTTCGGGCACATCTACAATTGTTCTCGACTGCGCCATGGCGCAAAAATGGTTAGCAAAAGATTGTCGAATACTATCTGTATCAAAGTTTATAAAGTCCCAATTTTCGGACCTACACTACAGTATACAGGAAACCGTGGTACATGACTAGTACCATTGGTAGTCCTGGAGAAAGTGCTCAGACGTTGCACTAGCCTTCTCCAGAAAGCATTCTTGGATCAGGGAGTGGGTACCCGGGTGGACCATCTAATCATCGAATGGTACCTCATCTCACTCCAAAACAAAAATAATTGTAGTTGCCTTGTTTGATTTCAAGGACTTGAAAATACGGTGCATGCTGTTCTATAGACGTCAAGAGTCCATAACCGTTAACCCCCTCTTGATGATAATGCATGATACACGACGAAAAAATATGAACAGAGAGAAATTTTGCTTCAACGAAATTTCGAAAGCAAACGGAAGCGTTTCTTGTCACGAATAAAGAGGAGGTAGATATTTTGCATGCCTCACATGACAGTCAGTCCACACCGCTACCAGTATCTCTTTTCAAAGTAAATTAATTGATGCAGCTGCGGGAGGTCCACCGCATGCATGCAGCAGGTGGTATTTACTTTGTTTTCCCAGATTCCGGAATTGCTGTAGGCGGTTGAGAAGATGAGTGGTGGGCCTCCTTCTTTGGTTGACATTCTGAAGGAGAAGAATGCGGCCAAACGTAAGCGGGCTCTCAGCCGCCTGTTTTTGGAGCTGTGTGGTGCTGCTAGTGCTGAGGATTCGTCAATGACAGTGTTCTCACTCGCACTGGGACGGGAACGTGTATGGCAAGAGCGACTTCTCCATGTTCTCAGAGACATGAAGGTCTTGTTCTCACGCCATGACCTGCCTAAGGTTAGGCATCCTCTGATCCTGAATTAGTAGTACTGTAACACACTGTAGATTGGAAGCAGAAGTGCAGTCTACCAGTCCCAAGATTCACACCGGTATTACATCCCGTAATGTGGCGTGTAAAAGCAGGTGCTTCAACAGGGGCGTAGCAGCTGCTCCGGCTTTGGCCGGACCACTTTTTCGCCCGACCACGACCACCATAGTAAAACAATGCCAAAAGTGCCCAGAATGCAGGATTTTGCACCCTAATTTCAAAAAAATCCGGGGGGACACCCCCCGACCCCCCCCCCCCCCCCCCCCCTGGTTGGACCACCGCCAACGGCGGTGCTACGCGCCTGTTCAAAACAGTTAGCGCGCTTTAAAATCTGCACAAAATTCTTGCCCCAGGTTCATACTACTGTCGTGGACATGGAAATCCAGTCGGACGTTAAGCAGCCCAAGGCGCTGGCCATGCAGCTGTGAGTACGCATACAATCAACATGTGCACAGCAACGCTGCGTTCTGTCTGTACTGAGGGCGCTTGCCCCGTGTCAATCGCCCGGATTGCCATGTCCACAACGGTATATGCATCAAGTACTGTACATAACCCGTGGATCCATCATAATACACGCACAACCAACAACATATTAACCGGCCCTAGAGTTTAGTGTGGACTTCAAGTGCACTCTCAAACCCGGATTTATATGTTTACTACCGTACTGGCAATATATGTTGCCGCAGTGAGGCCATGAAGCGTTACATTGGCACATGTTTGCCGCACGCAGGGCGTTACATGCAAAGTCGCACAGGAGCCGTTACACAGGTTTCTATATTGCCGCAGTCCTTTTTTTGCTATTGCCGCATCACTTTTTTGCTATTGCCGCATCATTTTTTTGCTTTTTGCCGCATCATTTTTTCTTTTCATCCACATTGAAGGCACAGAATTAGAAATTCAGTTGCTATCCAACTGTTACAAACCCGACGGCAAAGGGCGACAACGATTTTTTTTTTTTTTTTTTTTTTTACTAGAGCCACGTAAACCCGTCATGTGTGAGCCATGAATAATCAATAGAAGACTGTATATTTTAACTATCAGAGTGATCTGTTCACAAAAAGATCATCAAAAGGAAAGTGACATAGGGGAAGAGCGCTTCCTCAAAAAAAAACTTTTCACCACGCGGACGTGCTTTCACAGTTTTCAGCCTTTTTTTTTGCAGTGCAAACTGCAATGAAAAGATCGCCGCACCCCGCCGGACGCGCGTTACGAACTCAACGAAAATTTGTCGCACTAGCCTGGTCGCGCGTTACGCCGCACCCCCCTGCGTTACGCGTTACGCGGCAACATATATTGCCAGTACGGTAGTACCGTAAAGTACCGCCAGAGCGCCCCACCATCTTGTCCTTTCGTGGTCGTATTGTGGAGGTGGTCTCCTGTCTGTAGGTCATACGACACGAACTTTGTACACATGTTGCACGTTCTGCAGACAATCCCAGTGCTGCCAAACCGTCTGATTTTTCAGACAGTGTCCGATTTTTGAAGGCTCTTCCGAAAACCGGTCCGAAAAGCAGCCAAAATGTCGGAGATAATTACTTTCCTATGCAGAAGACCTGTATTTCACTTTTCAGCGCAACTGAAGGCACAAATCACTGTACATTTGCTTCTAAAAAGGCTAGCGCTTGGCTGTGGAAGTGCAAAGTAATATGCCTGGATGGCCTGTACACTGACAGTCTGTACAGAGTCAGTGTGTGACCACACTCATCATTGCAAAATTCATGACAACTCTTGGGTGCCATATTGCCATATGGCAGCAAAGCGAATTTTCATGGTATTTTAGGCGATATTTTGAATTCTCTGTGAAAGATTTGCCGAGGAGAAAAATTCACACCATGGCATGTGGCTAGCCTTGGCGGTGAGGGTGTCCGATTTTGGGCGAAAATTATTTGGCAGCACTACAATCCGTACTTCGAGTGGACACGAGCTCCACACAAAACCTGCTTAGTGTGACAATAGTACACTAAGGTCTCACACCGTACAAACTTCGTTGCACTCTGCCATACGATTTTATTTCTCTGGCTGTAAAATCAAGGCGGGGCGCTCTTGCGGTACTTTACGGTACAGTGGAGATTGGATATAACGACCTTGGGTATAACGACAAATCGAGTTAAGCGACACAATTCTGTTGCCCAAGTTGTTTAGCAAGTCTTTTCTGTACATTATAGATCGGGTATAACGACCTCGAAAATAACGACAGATCGAATTTACTGACACTTTTTTGTGCCCGAAGACCTGAAAAACAGTGAAAATACATCGGATATAACGACTTTCCTCTTGTATCAGGCAGACTGGCATGTCTGGAACATGGTATAATGGCTGTGCCACGTGCCCGGACCTCCGGGTCACTCATGTGTGCTTTACATTGCACGTTGTAGCCGCAGTGGGGCGGTGCGGGATGACTTTACCTTGAACAATGCATGCAAGACACATGACTGTACAATCATACACATCTGTTATCCACATGTACTTGTACAATCATGTACATGTACATGTATATCTACAATACATTTCTGTCATTTTGATATACATATTGCATACCGGTACTAAATGTGAAGATCGGGTTTAGTGACAGATCGAATATAGCGACATTTTGCTTTCTCCCGAAAGAGTGTCGTTATATCCAATCTCCACTGTACATGTGCAAGAGTTCCTGATATGGTAGGTCTGATATGGTACTTGTCTGGATAACAGAGGTTTTACTGTACTGTGCCACATACCGTTAAGTCGTGTATATAAAAACCGGCGGCTTATACAACTTTTTGGGGAAATTTCGCAGGCTTCTATACAAGACAGGTTTATGTGTGAATTGTAGTACCAGTGTTCTGGCTCGTTGAATACTGGTATCACCAATATCACCAGCATCACAGCCATTTCAGCACAATCGTGTTTGTTTACACATTATTTTCTACAGACTTCTTCTGTTGATATCTGATCTACATCACGAGTTCACATGAAAGTGCGGCTTATACATGCCACAATGGTTGTAGACTTGTAGTACACCTCTGTACCATCTAATAGTCTTACTGTCTAGGACTAGGAGTGAGCGCAGTGTCGCATTTTGAAGCCCCGGCTACTATTCAAGGGCGGCTGGTGTGCGTTTTGATGTTTCCAAAAGTGCGGCTTCTAGTCGAGGGCAGCTTCTATTGAAGTGCAGTTTTTATACAAGACTTTGCGGTAGCCAAATTGCATATGGGTGAGCGGCTGCCATGTACTTGTAGTAATGGTTCTTATCAAATTCGCATAGACCTTCAGACCGAATGATGATGGATGATGCGTATGTATTGGTGTTCACATGTACATGTATCCATTACCAAACGATAATGATTGAGCGACTGGTGCTTGGGGAGTCTGGCTTCGCCAAGAGGCCTAGATCATGGCAGCAAAGCGAGGGCCCAAGAGCGCATGTTTTCTCGTTAATGTGTTGTTGATTTGGCGAAGGCTAAGGCGCTGTTCTCACGATGCTTGATAGATTATCCATTTGCAGTCAAAGCTGAGAATGCTGTGGAGATGGGTGCAGTGCACCATTATTGACAGTGCATTGCATGCCACAGTGGCTTTCTTCCTTGTGTAAGTTGATTTGTTTGCTGCTGCTGCTGCTGCTCTCTCTCTCTCTCTCTCTCTCTCTCTCTCTCTCTCTCTCTCTCTCTCTCTCTCTCTCTCTCTCTCTCTCTATCTATCTATCTATCTATCTATCTATCTATCTATCTACCTGTCTATCTATCTATCTATCTATCTCTGCACAACACACCCAGTTGATTGGCATGGACAAAGTTGGACTAGGCAAGACACTCATCAGCGCCAGTGCCGCTGTTTTCCTGGTCCGTGTCTTGCAAGTCAAGCTACCAGAGAAGACGGCTGAGGAAGGTGGCGGTGCTGGCGGAGCCGAAATCTTCCACGACTGGCCTCTGACTTACAACATTGCTGCAGCTCTGCTTGGTCAGCTGAGTAGCGCAGCTAGTAAGGATGATGGAGCAATGGAAGAACTGTTTGAGCAGGAGTCAGTGGAGATTCTTCTCAAACAACTAAATGGTAAGCATTATTAGTAAAATAAACGAGCATTAGCTGCCGATGCCTAGTTTTACATGTATGTAGGAAAATGGCAATCGTCACAAATTAATACTTCCAGTATGGCTTTCTCTGACTGCAGCTGCATTCGTTTTGTCCAACTGATAGAGAAGACTAGAACAGATTTAGAAAAAAAGAGAAGACGGTAGATGGCAGTACACGAGCACAGATTTACCAGTTTCAGCAGGTCATGACATCCCTTACCCCTACCAACTTCTACCAGCCCTAAGCCTGGTACATGTTGAACCATTAGAGGAAAGTAGAACCTATTGTTTGGATGGAAAAGGGAACACATCTACCTAAGCATGTACAACAAATACCCCCTTTTTCTGAGTACAGGAATCTTGTTTCGAGTTTGCATGTTGAGCACAGAGTATTCAATGCCCCCCTCCCGCTGCTCCTTTTTTCTCATTTCTCTCTCTGTCTCATGCACGTCCGCACATACCCACAAGCACCGAGAAGGAAGAAAGAAAGAAAGAAAAAGAAAAAAAAGGGAGGCCAGTTTGTTGTAGCACTCGGGGGAAATGAGGCTGAGAACTGGGAACAACAGTACAGTTACGCCTTTTCTAAATGGTAATCCTGTCTTCTTCTTTCCTTGTTTTGATTGCCTGCAGAGAAGACTGCTCAGCATGTCATTCCAGCCTTTGTATCCTGTACCTCACTCCTTCAGTTTTGCAATGCCTCGGGTGAAGCCTGTGAACGTATCATTTTCGCTGGTGGCCTGCCATTGCTTGGAAGCTTTGTTCTTCGTGACAGTCCACAGCAATGGGTTGCTAAACACTGCAAGGGGAAGATGAAATCGTGTGAGGTAATTGACTTTGAATACTAGTATCTAGGTATCCCGTAGTGTAGGTATGCGTGTGTATGCGTATGTGTATGTGTGTGTGCCTGCTTGTGTGCATTGTGGTAGTCCTGCATGGTGCATCAGTGCTATTACTAATGTGTACAGCCATGGCAACATTGCGAAATTCTCTTGGCCCGCTGCTGCTCTTGAGCTGGCTTGGAGTTCAAGAATTTGAGGAAGACACAGTGGCTGGTTGTTGATTCTTTCCGTATGCTTGAGTGTGGAATGTTGCATTATTTCATGCCTTCTTCTCAGGTGAAGTAAAGGTAAAAAGTAAAGGAACAAGAACAATGGATATAAAAGTACAGCAGAGAGGTGATGGAATAGCACAAAGAAGAGTAGCCAAAACAATAACACCAGTTACCGACAGTAGAATGCATAGCCCCCATACACATACAGTAAAACCTGTAATGGCGACCACTCGGATATGGCGACCACTCGACCATGGCGACCACTTTTCCTTGTCACGGACGCATTCACATTCAAAACACCTCGGATAAGGCGACCACTCGCTCAACGCGACCTGCGACCACCCACCCGCGACCGCGTTGCACAGTGCTAGTCATGTAAATGTATGCACCAGGCATGGTAGATCTACACATCAGTGCAGGAAGTGTACATGGTGCATGCACGACATTGGACAGGTCTGAGGACCCCGGCCCAGGCACATGAGTCGTGCTAGAGTAGCATAATGGTGTGTGCACTGTGATGCACTGATCAAAATGATGTATCACATGTGGATATGGTCACGTGACCCTCTGAACCTGGATAAGAAGACCACCTGGCCGCGGCGACCACTTTTTCTCGTCCCTTGAGGGGTCGCCTTAGACAGGTTTCACTGTACAAAGATGGACAGAAAGGTGCAAGTGTGAAGAAGCCTAACAAGCATGACAACAATAGACAACAAATGGAGCAAATTTAATTTGCACAACAGCTGTTAGGTAGGGGTTATCGCCAACTCCTTAGTTACCTAGGACAGGTGTTTGCTCCCCACACCGGAGCTCCCGCTTTTCTGCAGAGTTGACTTGACGCTTGACTTGTCCTTAGTTACCGTATGTCCATTAGCTCTTCTTTGCGCTATACCATCACCTCGGGGGGGGGGGGGGGGGGGGGCTCTTATCCGGGCACCTTGGGACCGGGCACTGCCCGTATCTCAGATTTGCCCGTATCTCAGGAGAACTCATCTACCATGTATCATATCATTTTTTGAAGAACTTTATTTGGCATGCATTGCACATGTTCAGGTTACACTTACAGAAAGAATCCATAGATAGTTGGCAGTGACAAATAAGCACTTGCGCATATGAAAAAAAGTTCGAACCTCCCGAATTCGAAGCATTTTGCTGGAGGAACTCAAGCTGAAGGTGCCCGGTAGAGAGACGTGTCCGTATCTGAGGCGTCCGGATAAGAGGCGTTTGAGTGTACTATTATTTCACCTGACGGGAAGGCATGGAAGTATACTACAATTGTAGTGGAAACTTTCAAAAATCTTGTCGGTGAAGAGTCTAACGTGTGTCCTCTTCTTGTGTCACCCTCCTGCTTTCTTAGATTGCTTACTTCTTTGATAGCTCTTCCCGGCGTGTTCTAACGCTGGCGGAGAGGCAGAAGCAGGCCTACGCCAAGATGATGGATCTTAGCTACTGTGCACAAGTGGACGCCATTAAGGTTTTAGCTCGGGTAAGTTCACTGGAAGCCATAGTTTTTTTGGAGAAGTGCAGGGGTCTTGCCTGGCCGTGGCTCTTTGTCCGAGTCTGTTTTGGTGTTGATGGCACATTGCAATGCACACATACCATTGCAATGCTACAGTAATAGTGTGGATCAACTAAGCCTAAGCCAGGTTCCATGTGTTGCTCTTTGCCTCTTGTCCTCTCCTATGCCTTCTGTCGCTTGTCTCAATGTAGATAGTTCAGTTGAACGAACGAACCCGTGCTCAAGTGTGGAAATGTAAAGAAGCAAGCAAGGTTTGTCTAGTTATTGTAATTCTAATCTGGAGTAAATGCCAATCAACTCGCACAGTACCATTCCAGGAGAATCTGGTCACAAAGCTAGCGATAGTAACTGCTGTAGAGAGTCTAGTCATATCATCACTGAAATGAACGTTATCTGGTGAAGTAAAACAACAAACAAGCGCTCCAGCTATGATTAGCTGCTGCGGCGCCCGTTGCTTTTCGTGTTTTCACTGCATTTGGATTGTCTGCTCATCACACCTCACTCTCCTGCTCCCCATCCCACCCATCACTAGAAGCCAGCCTAGATCATACTGTAAAAGCCATTATTCTAACGAGGCGCATATATAACGATTTCCAAAATTGACTAGTTTACGTGTACGAAAGGTAACGATTCTCACTCATTCTCAACGCTCAATAGGACGGTATATGTATCGATTTCTGTATAACAATTTCTATTTTAACCCTTTGGAGTCCGTAACGTTTTTGCTTCCGCAGAATTTGTGGCAGTCACGAAAATGCGCACTCCATTTCCAACATAACTTTGGTTCTACTTCACCGATTTTGAAGATCTTGGGCTCGTTGGAAAGCTCTTGATGAGAGAAATACAATGAGCCCAAACTCGCCAAGAGCACTATTCATTGTCCGCCACAACGCGCCCCAAACGCGAGTCCAGCTCCAGATCTGAGACGAAATCGGTCTCCTGTAGCCATTTCACTGAATCTAGCTCGGAACTGTTCAAATTTTTTCGAGTAGAAGCTTACCTTGCCGTGACTTCGCGCCGCGCCGGTCCTGGCACGTCCCGCCATGAAGCTGGGAAAATCCCTTTTTTTCACGCACTGCTGACTCGCAGCACGCAGCGCAGAAAATTCGAAAGGTTTGATCGATCGCCGCTCACTCAACCTTCATCGGAGAGACTTCGGACCTGTTCGAGGCGATAGCTGAGAGTTTTCTCTACCATCTAGGCCCTTCGATTGTTGAATTTGGTCAAGATTTGGCCGCGAACCGAAAGTTTGACTGCGCCCACATGCATACAAAATGCCCATGGTTCGAAATCGAACCATGGACTCCAAAGGGTTAACGACAGATTTCTCCTCGTTAACTCGTTAGAGTTAGCACTTCGTTATATATATGGCTTTTACAGTAGTATCATATTTTGCTCTGGTTACTACAACCAAGAGTACATAACCCCCCAGAGTGTGCAACGCCGATCCAGCTCTGTGTAGGGTCTTGGTCGAGCGGAATCGGATCTTCTGATGTCATGCGTACACTTCACACCAGCGCAAGGCCGGTCTCGAGGCAGGGCACCATTGTTTTTGATCCAAGAGTACCCGCGACGCCCCGGGTTCCCCTCAGATGTGTACGGTATTATGACGCAAAGATCCGATTCCGCTCGACCAAGACCCTATGCAGAGCTGGATCAGGCGTTGCACACTCTGGGGGGTTATGTACTCTTGCTACAACTTACTAGTGGTGGGTCACGTCCAGGAAGACAACACAGCACTAAGTGTGGCATTTGGAGCCAAGAGCATTTGGAACTTGCTGGTTATCGGCAATCGCGATTGCCTGCTAAGCATGGATTCTTTCTACTGTGCTGGCTAGTGAAATCCAACCGGTCTCTTAAGAATTGCAATGGAAGCAACGAGTACCGGTACATGATGGAGGTGTGTCCTGACCTGGGTCGCACAGCTCGAGGGCATCACGGGTAGTTCTTCAGAGGGTCAGCGGCTAGCTGAGCATGAGCAGTTTCCTACCCTTGGTCTATGCACGGGGGTGATCTTTTCTTCCTTCCAGATCATAGTGTTCCCTGCTTGCGTAGAAACATTGTGTGCCAAGTTTGGATTTGGAGAAAAAAAAGAGCTCCAATTCGAAGAGAATAGCATGTTTGGCATGATGTTGATAGAAACTTAAAAAATAAAATAAAAAGTCATCACAGTCAACAGGCTGCAGTTGTCCAATCCCTGTGGGCTTGCAGCAATGCGCTTCCTTTCATTTTCCTGTCGTGTTCATGGTTTCTTGTCACGCGAGCCAAATTACCGAACTGATTTCCTCCTGGCCATCACTTTACATGGTGTGTCAGCGCACTCTCAGCAGGTTATGTGCTCTTGATGCTAACATAGGCCTCGCTTTGTGTGTAAATATCGGCTGTGGCCTAAGGTTGGCTGTGCAGGGCGTGTGTGAAGGAGAGATAGTTGTTTTCACGCTCTTTCCCTGAAATCACATCTCTCTTGGCTATTATTGAGTTTGGCATTTTAAAGTCCAGTTGCTACCCAGCCTTCAAAGTAGCAATGTGTTCCTCTCATCATGACATGATCACACATATCTAGCATAACTAACTTGACAGTGTCTCTATTGTTAATGTGTGTACGTGCGTGCGTCTATGTGTGTGTGTGTGTGTCTGTCTGTGTGTCTGTGTGTCTGTGTGACCATAGAACCGATTGTTAGTACGGGTCGTCCCTCGTTAATACATAATCTCTGGGACTTGACAAATGTTATGTACAGGTCTGCTCTCGATATAACAACTCTCACTTGTACGTAAACCTCGCTAGTACGTAAAAAAAATCAAAGCCCGTGCCAAAACAGCATCACTCCCATACAAATGTTGTTCTGCACAACGTTATCCTACATAGCGTAAACCTCGACATAGCGCACATTACGGTGCGGTCCCCGACATGCACACTCTTGTGCGCGGTACGATCAAGCTGTAGCTGTAGCTAGCCAGTTTAGGCCAGGTTAGTCCTACGTAACGTAAACCTCGACATAACGCACGCTATGGCGCGGTCCCCGACGTGCGCACTCTCGATACAACATAGATTCACGTGTGCATTACGATCAAGCTGTAGCTGTAGCTAGCCAGTTTAGTCATATTGTGCGTATATTCTGCGGCACTGATTGCAGCTGATGTCGATGGTGGTACAGTGTGTACATGTTTGCATGGTTGAATCCGCCTTGCAATACCCTTCATTTTGAGATGCATCTTTGTATTTTACACACGGTTTTCTACGTAATTATCATGACTCGATATAACATACTTTTTGCGTGGTCCCACGACAACGAAAGTCTGCATAACTTGGTTGTGTACTAGAATTTTCACTTTTTTCAACTTTTCTGAGTGTTTCTTGCTACCGTGACTAGGGAGCGAGATATTCTTGATTCCCTCGATATAACGTAAACATTATGTTATAACGGTCTCAGTCAGCAAAGATTCTACATGATGCACGCCCGGCTGCGCCTATGCAATCACTCAGTAAAAACAGAGCTTTGTCGGGTTGTGATGTGCGCTCTGATTTCTGAGCCAATTGCGTCCATAAGAAGAAACTGGAACACGATGCGCCTGCTCTGGAAGGCCAAAAGACCAACAAATGATGTACTATTGAGGTAGGTGGCATGCGGGTACGGAGGAAATGTTATGTACTAACGGATTATGTACTAACCGACACAATTTGTATGGAAGTGACCTCGTTTCGTCCGGGACTTGAGCTTTCTTATGTACTAGCGGTTGTTTATGTACTAACCGGACTCGTATTAACAGGGGACGAAATGTAGTTTGAAGCATCTTTGTGTGTGTGTGTGTTGCCCCTCTGGGGCCCACGTGACCCTTGTGGCAGTGGCTCGACAGGCGTGTATGTGCGTGTGTGTATGTGTGTGTGTGTGTGTCTGTGTGTGTGTGTGTGTGTCTGTCTGTCTGTCTGTTGAATGGTGTAATCCCAGCACAAGTTGCTATGCCTAAACATAGCTGTTCGCTATCATCGCTTCCGCGATGGGCATGTCTGAGGTCTGAGGTGTGTGTGTGTGTGTGTGTGTGTGTGTGTGTGTGTGTGTGTTTGTTTGTGTGTTTCTGTGTGGGTATGTGGTGACCTGCTGTTGTAGGCGATCATTAAGTGGCTTAACATACCTGTCATTACCAAGCATGACCTTAAAATAATCACCGCCATGGCCAAAGTCTTGGCCTTGCTCTGCACTAATGAGGAACAGGCATGGAAGATCAACTTGATGCATGACATCACCTACCTGCTGGAAATCGGAAGTAAGTGCTGGTACATGTGTAGTCTGAAATCTGTGGGTGCATGCACGTATTACTATTAGACGGTTGTGTTGCACAGTGTACTTGACATAGCCACCAAGGCCTGATGATGTCATAGACCACTGGTGCTGGAGACTGGAGTGTGGTGAGCAGGACTGCTGGACCTTACTTGCTTCGGAATCCAATCTGCCGCACGTTGATAGGAGCTGGCGCTCTAAGCAGTTCACCAGCTGTACGTGGACAATTGATCCCATTACTTCGCAGCGTACAGATAGTGGAGATACTGGTCGGTAGCTCTAGATGTTGGGGCAGTAGGACTTCTTATGACTTGGGACGACCTGGGCAAGCTTGCAGCCAGTTGGTTGACGACCAGTGCGGAAACAGAGAGAATGCATGTGGGTTACAGTGCCTTGGCGTGTTAGGCAGTTCCTTGGCGCACTCTTTTAGAACTCATGCTTGGATACCATTGTGACCTATGACTTAAGAGCCATGGAATATTCAACATTTTTGCACATCAGAGAGGCCAATGGTCACCATTATGATGAATGGAATGTTGAGCTCCCCCTCTGGCGAAACCGTGCTTTACAACCTGTCATAATCACCTGCGTCTTGGTCCATGCGGGACATATCACCAGTTTCAGCGTTATCGGCAAGCGTATCGACGAGCATATCAAGGTCATAGTGAGCCTTTTCGAGGAGAGCTTCAGCATACTGTTGTTTCTTTATGTGTATAATTATCTATTTGGACTTAGGCAAATTCAATACTCTCGATTGACACTGAGGCTGCTGATAGTTTGCTAAACTTCTTTCTCAAGAAATCTGGAAAGTTTTCCGTGCCTAAAGCTTCCTTCCAAGAAGCCACTTTCGTCCTTTCATCAGCTATGACTTTTCGGCTCGTATTTAAACTGTTCACAATAGCTACAACGTACCGTTCAACTTCAGCAGAAGGTAGTGACAATGCTTCTGTCATGATGGAGATATGCTCAGGTTCTTCAGCAGCCAAATTGTCGTAGGCGTCGTTAAGCAATGTCAACGTCGTTGGGTGGATCTGCTGGCGGGCCGTCTGAGGCGTCATGGGCCGTATCATTCACATTGGATCGATCATCAGCAGCATCAGAATGGCTTTCTTCAGACAAATCTGGATGGTGGCGCTTCGTTTGTTTTTACTCTACACCTAGCAGAATATTGTGAAGCTACAGTGAGCTTTGAAGTCATGGTTTGGTGTGCATGACCACTGTTGCAGAGCCAGGGGAACGCCAATTGCTGCAATCACCCGAAGACTTGCTTCAGCTTCCTTTGTCATGAATGTCTTTGCCAAGGTCATCATACGTGTTATTTAACTAGAGTAATAGAAGCGCTTCTGAATGCAATAAGGTAACTTTGAGACTAAAGTGTGTGTGTGTGTGTGTGTGTGTGTGTGTGTGTGTGTGTGTGTGTGTGTGTGTGTGTATGTGTGCGCGCGCTTGTGTACATGTGTGTGCTCTTGCGTGTGTGGATTGCTTTATTTTCTTCAGTTTCTCTTCCGTACAAGGAGGGTGTTCTGGCATTCTTGGAGCTTGCTCTTACTTTCTCCAGACTTGGCGGGCGTTGCCGAAAAGAGATTGCTGGAAGTGAGGTACAAGCTGCTTTGCTTTTTCTTTCTTCTTCTTGTGCTTCACAATGCATGCCTGATTTGGCACCATGCTGTATGTCTTCACTTCGCACGCATGCCTGTTTTTTTCACCTTTACCGTAAAGTACCGTTGATCCGCCACCACGCTGTGCTTTCAGCAGGGGGGGGGGGGGGGGGGGGGAATTAGATGAAGGCTCTCAATTTCAGCACTGTGTTCAACTACACAATCAGAGTGCTAGATTGTGCATCTTTATTTTCATCCACTTTGTATATATGCACTAGCACTCTGATTGTGTACAGTTGTGCAAGCGTCGGTTCAGCACCGTATTTCGACGTTTACGCTGAAGCCCCTTCACTGGTAGAAATTCAACCGGGGCGGAAATTAGAGAGGGGACGGGCCAACGCCACTTTACTGTATGTGACGAGCACTCGTGCATGTGTATGCAGTTATTTGTACCCATCACCGGGGTTGTATCCGTATGAGTTGCTTCTTGCTTTCGAATGGTTCTTTCTTTGTCTTTGCAGGTGATTTTGCCAACAGTGATGTCCACAATATGGTCGTATTGTCCAGAGGTAGGTGGTGACTACAGATCCTTATTGACTGTTTCTTGGACTGGGAAGTAGTAAAGGGTTATGCATGGAGACATTTGTCAGAATGCTAGTCCATGGCCGCATTTTGCTGTGGTGCAAGCTCTGAACCATCGACTGCAGACGCGTAATTGCAAGTCAGTCCATGAAGTTGGCTGCAGATTGACACGCGACTGGACTTCTTTCACCTATGTGACTGTATCATGCCGGAGTCAGCGATATTCTTTATTATTGTTCTTTTCAGGTTTCTGGCAAGAGTAACAGTACTGGTGTCCAGGGTCGCTGTGTGTTTTCTCAGGAAACCAAGACAAGGTCCACTAACCTTTTTGGTTTGATATTGAATGTAGAAAAACATGTTGCCCACACACAGCCAGAAGGCTCACATGGATATTGAAAACCTAATGTTTGTTTGTTTTGATCCCGATATGATTTAGATTCAGCGTGCTTCAATGAGCCTTCTCATTACTCTAGCCAGCTCGACAGATTCAGCTCCATTTGCGTTTAATGCTGGTGTGACGCCGGAATTTGTTTATCTTTTCCGCAACTTTTATAGCTCAGTAAGTGACCTACGTGTACTCACGTGTGTGTGTGTGTGTGTGTTGCACCACACACATACGCGCACGCACCCATGCATCCACACCCACCCACTCACACACACACACCACACACACACACACGGGCACACGCACACACACCACACACACACCACACACACACACACATGCACACACACACACGCATGCACACACACACACACACACACACACACACACACACACACACACACACACACCTGTCCTGTCCTGTCGAGCCACTGCCACAAGGGTCACGTGGGCCCCGGAGGGGTAACGGAGAGAGAAGAGGAGAACGCCGTCCCACGGCGTCCAGGGCACAACGCAAGGTCGCCAGGATTGTGACCTGAATCCTGGCGACCTCGCGTTGTGCCCCGGACGCCGTGGGACGGCGTTCTCCTCTTCTCTCTCCGTTGCCCCTCCGGGGCCCACGTGACCCTTGTGGCAGTGGCTCGACAGGACAGGTGTGTGTGTGTGTGCGTGTGTGTGTGCATGTGTGCATGTGTGTGTGTGTGCATGTGTGCATGTGTGTGTGTGTGTGTGAGTGGGTGGGTGTGGATGCATGGGTGCGTGCGCGTATGTGTGTGGTACAAGAGAGACAGACAGAGACAGAGAGAGGGAGAGAGATAGAGGGAGAGGGAGAGAGACAGAGAGCGAGAGAGAGAGCGAGAGAGAGCGAGAGAGAGAGAGAGAGAGAGAGAGAGAGAGAGAGAGAGAGAGAGAGAGAGAGAGGGGGGGGGGGGAGCCAGTGGCGTAGCCAGGGGGGGTGCTTTGGGTGCCCAAGCACCCCCCTCAAAAATTCCAGGTACCATTTTCGTACTGCTGTGGATCTACGCCCGCCCGCGATCGAGACTCGACGTCGACAAGATCGACGCCACACGACGCTGCGCTGCACGACGGGGCCCGGCCAACTGTATTACTAGTATTACTAGTTTGGCAATACATTCACCAGCTGCATTCGTCGTGGATGGCGGCGAGCAAACTCATCGATGACCGCACCCACGTCAACTGGAATGTCATGATGAACCTGCAGCAAGGTGAGGCCAGTCAGCCGGGAGTTCTTCATCACTGATCTCTGCCGGTCCTTGACCAGTTTCAGGGCGCTGAAGGACCGTTCGGACGAGCAAGACGTCACTGGCAAGGTTGCAAGAAGTAATACAGATTCAACAATTGTCTGTATTATATTCTGGGTCTAACCACACCCTGTTAATCTCTTACCATCCAACTTCTGTAGCAAAGTACTGTGCGTTTCATACGATTATCTGACTTTTTATTGAATCATTGGTGGAATGGAAATAATGAAATAGATGCAAAAATGAAGGATTTGGCACTCAATATCGAAAAATTTTCCGGGGGAGGACCCCCGGACCCCCCCCCCCATTTTTCGCGCCCTTCCGACGCAGGCCCACACTTCCAGTGAGCACCCCCCTCAGCCACAATCCTGGCTACGCCCCTGGGAGCTGTGTTGCAACTCCGAGTTTCACGTAGTCACGATCAGTGAGAAAGAGGTGTTATTGCTGTGGTGCTTGTGCTGCTACTGCTGCTGCTGCTGCTGCTGCTGCTGATGATGATGATGATGATAATGATGATCCCACTGGTGTTCTCGACTTATGGTTTCAGCGGGCCTGAGACAACTCAATTCCTAAAGTCTCTTGCCTCTCTCTTTGTAGAGAGAAGCCAGGATCTCAAATATCCTGTTGTCATGGGTATGTTGCGTACCCGCCTGTCGTTTTGCCTCTTGAGGTGGGCCATTACATGCTTTCGTGGTTGCCGAGGGTCTTATAACAGACAGCGGGTGAATTCCTTTGTGGCCCAGTGTCGTTTGGCCGCATAGTGAATTTTTATGCTATGCCTCTCAACAATATCACTATGGATAACATCACATTTTATAAATAACTATTTGGTAAAGTAACATCATCTGTCATTCAATATCTATCTGGTAAAATAATCAGCATTTGAATATCTACTTGGTACTAATCATTCAACTGTTAAATATCTACTTGGTACTAATCATTCAACTGTTAAATGTCATATTTTTACCTGAATATCTATCACGATTTTTGCACATAATCTCGGTTATCACCGTTTCAAGCCCGTACAAGAGGCCGTTTCCAATGATAATGATGATGATGATGATGATGATGGTTCCACTGTGACTCATGTGTGTAAGTGCTTTTTATGAATGATGTGCTACAGGTGTCTGGGACTGAAGAGAGTGCAACGCAGTTGAAAAAAGCCATGATTCGCTACCATTCAAGGTTAGGGCGAATGTGTTTTTTCTACCTAATAAAGTTATTATTATTATTATTACCTGCTCCACCTACTCTACCTGCTGCTCTACTTTTATTGGGCAAACTCTGTTTCCTACCATCAATCACTGTTTGCGCTACGATGGCATGTGTCTCTTGTGTCCTACAGTTTCCAGGTTTTAAGCCGCTGCCCTGACTATACAACCCGAGTATCTGTTTGAGGCCTATCGGTTGTGTTCTAGCTACTCTGGACTTGAACCAGGACTGGACGAAGCTACTTCTTTAACCCGTTTACGAGTGGCCACTAATGTACTGCAAGACAGATATTTTAACGACCTGCAAATTTTTTCGATTTCCCGAAATTTGCATGTTTAAATATTGGGAACTATTAGCAACGCGAAAGTTCGAACTTTTGGTGGCGGTGATATTTCGCGAAAATATATTTCGAAAAAGGAAGTTGTGAGGTTTAGCAATGCAAAATGACTTTTTCTCGAAGTTATTTGAATTCTATAGTACTATACCGTATATGCAGCTCAGTCTCAAGCAAGGGCTGTAAATTTACTATTCCCTGCCGTCAAGTGCGTACCGAGGAAAGAGAAAATAACTTTCACAGATCATTTCATATCTGTCTTCTTCTCAACGTACAAGTACATGTAACCTTGTATGTTTGGATGGTGCCTTTGTTGCTGATCCACCACACCATCACTCAATGCTCTACTGCATTGTTCACCCACCACTGACTTTATACTTCTGCGGCTCCTTTGCCCCTTTTCTTCTGATTCGTGCTGTTTTGGTTCTGATACAGTGATCGTTTGATTTTTTTCCCACAGCGTATCATTTGTTATCCTCCTGCCTTCGTTGTCCAGCACAAGCAAAGAAGTGGACCTATCGGTCGACTTCAACGCGAAAATGCACATAATAAATCATTTCAACTTCGCTTTAAAGTTTTCGAAGTTTCTAGCTTTGTTTCTGTCCTCACTCCCAGACTCGAATTTTCTTTCAAATTGCCTTAATTAAATGATAATGGATTTTAGACCGCTGTCCAGTTGTCCAGTACAGTGAAGCAAATGCGTGTACTAGTACATCCAAAGAACAACAGAACAAAAAGAAGATGCAGAGCAGGTTGCGATTCACTGCAATTTCACCATAGCTACACCATAGCATGGAAGTTGAATACGATATGCAGACAAAGACTACAGTACAATACGATATGCAGACAAAGACTACAGTACAATACAATATGCAGACCAAGACTACAGTACAATACGATATGCAGACAAAGACTACAGTACAATACGATATGCAGACAAAGACTGCAGTACAATACGATATGCAGACAAAGATTGCAGTACAATACGATATGCAGACAAAGACTACAGTACAATACGATATGCAGACAAAGATTGCAGTACAATGTAGAAGTAGACACAAAGTCTACCACCTACTTGATGTAGTAGTGTACTGCTAGTACACGTACATGTACCGTAAAGTCTTGTATAAAAGCCGCGGCTTCTATGACTTTCTTGGTGAAATTTTGCAGGCTTCTATATGAGACAGGCTTCTATACAAGACAGGTATTTCTATGTATGTCAACACTAAAACCAGGCTTATGTGTGATTTGATGGGCCCAAAATTGCGGCTTCTATTCAAGTGCGGCTTTTATACAAGACTTTACGGTAGTAAAAACAGAAGTACAAACAGGATGTTCTGCAGTACATGTACCACACTCCAGACATGTCCTTCAGGCAGCAATATTTCAGACTGCTGATAATGTCAGTCTCCTCAAACTGGCACCAAACCCAGTATCATGCTGGTCCCTAACTGCGATATTGTTCCAAATATGAACAATTTCATTCTGCACCGGCGAACTTATTTTCTTTGATTGCGGAGGAAAAAATTCGATTCTTAACCCTTTAGGGGTCATAGTACGGATTAATCCGTATATCACACATGCAGTGCTTTGATCACCAATTTTCGCCAATTCTTTGACTTTTTTTATTGGATTATTGGCAATTCGATTCTCAAGACAATTTTCTACTCGAAACCTGAGTTTTCTAGGTAGGTTGCAACTAAACGTTTTGAAATACAGGCACGAAGAAAAAGTTGACGTTCAACTGTCTGAGTATGCACCAGCTAAAAGGGCAGTATAATTTTGTTTCAGATTTGGGTCATTCTGTCACTCTTTGTAGGAAACCACGATCAACTCTGTCACACCAGATCACATTACCAGAGACTATTGGCAATCTGTTTGGTCTGCTCTGATCTTGGATTTGGGTTTCCATCCATTTGCAAGCATTTCCTACATTTAGATCAAGGGTTGGCAACCTCACATTGTCAGATTGAGCTCTGGTTTTCTCTATTGGATTCTTTTTCTGTCCTTGTTCGGAAAAATATAGGTGTTATGTTAGTAATTGTGAACGGTTGTTCGGATATTTGATACTTTTTAAGGCCGCCTCAAATTTGACGAACAATCCTCAAAACAATTCGACCCCTAAAGGGTTAAAGGGGACGTTCACCCTAAAATGAAAACTTCAGAACGTGTAGCGAAAAAATGCACTGATTCCAATGGCGAAGGTCCCAGGTTGATCGGAGCAGCCGTTCCCGAGTTATACCAGCTGGAGGTTTGCACTAAATTTGGTGACATCATGATTACGTCATTAACTTGCCCAGCATTGGCCGGATTTATGACGTCAGAGAGATAGACTTTGTATGGGAGTAGTTGGGGAAAAACCAATATTCTTTCTTGTTTCTCTGCAGCAATGAATTTCATACTAGAGTGCTGTTGTGTTGCTCTATTATTATGCTGTAATTAAAGTCCGTGGAAAGCAGAAGCCCATAAGTTTGATCGTCACAAGATCCAGCTGAACTCTGCATGTGCTTCGCACCTGAAGTCAGAAGGCAACGATTCGTTCCAGAAGCGAGACTATCAGGCTGCATATGAAAGCTATCGTTGTGCGTCAGCCATTTGCCCGCCATTGGAAACACGCTGTGTGATTCCTATACCACCACCTATTCCTGAGCTCTACCTGCCACCGTGGGATTTCCTGCGCTTTCAAGAGTAAGCTAGCGTGCTTTGTGCACCCAACTGTCCTTAATTTGTCGATGTGTTTTATTTGTGTAATGTTTGGTGGAAGTATGATAAAGTGCTCAGGCCATCGTGCTCGTCATGCACGTATACGATGCCAGTTCTTTAGGTTCCGGGTGTGGCTGTTGTTCTGATTTGACACGCTATTTTGCACTTTCATCTCTGGTTATGCATGACGGCATCAGTGAGGTAAAGGGCGCAAGAGAGTGGTGCATTAATTAAAACAAACTGTTCCACAGTGAGCCGTCGGAAGGATTGGTGAGCTTCACACTTTTTGCTGACATCAATCTGATGGAAGCCCAACATTACGCTAGGGTTTTGATTTCAGTAAGTCTGAACGTGGTTTGTATGTGCTTGAAAATATCTTTACCTTCAGAAGTATTGCATATGTGCTCATGCGAGGGGATTTAACTTTTCACCCTTTATTGAATTTGTTTTTTGTCCTTTACAGGTGGAGTTTGCCCAGTGTACTCTACAGCAACATGGCACAATGTATGTTGAAGATGCATGATCCACACGAGGCTATTCGTCTCTGCATGGAGGCGCTGGGCCGGTGTCTGCAAGGTAAAATGTGAGGCTTGGACCTCTTTTGGTGCTAGCTTGTTTCAGAGAAGTGGCTGCATGCACTACGTATGCAGGCTGCTTTTCTATCATAACTTCCCTTCATCAATTTTGATAATCTTGGGCTTCGTGGAAACCTCTTGGCATGGGGAACACACTACTAGTGGAAACGTTACTACCTAGTTTGCAACTACCCTGGTGCTCTTTCTGGGAAGACATGCGAAACAGGACTTTGAGCCAATTTGGTAAAAGTTCCTGGTTGTCACTCTCCCCTCACGTGGTCGCAGGCACCCACATGTCCGTTCACACAACATCCATACATGTGTTTGGGGATAGCGTGTTTCTTGTATTTCTCCCAGCGTGGACACGCTTTGTCCTGCTTAACTCTGCTGAGTCCCTAACTACTACCTTATATAATAGCGCAATTACATATTGATCTAGCATGAAACCGTCCAAGGTAGAGGGGAAGCAAAGGTCAAGAGAAGAACAAAAACTCGATCTTTGCATTCTTCAAGCAGGCAAATGAAGTGATGGTTGTGTGGTAGTGCACAACCATGAGGTTGGCCAAATACCAGTGCTGCTCCGGAACCCATTTTGTCCTGCAGAAACGCAGACCATGTATGGTAGACCAACGCATACACATACACTCATACCTCGTTTATCCGGGCGGTCTGGGACTGGGCACTGCGCGTAACTTCAAAATGCCCGTAACTCCGAATCACATACATTTTGATTGGGAAAGTTCATAGATATGGCATGTGACGTCACTATTTCCAGAAAAAGTGACAAAAGAGTAGTAGTGCGGTGTTACCAAGTGCCCTCTACCCCAAGCGTACTGCCCAGTGCCATTTTGCAGAATTTTTCAGACTTTCGCGTACTCGTTTTTTCATGTTGACTCTTTCAAGTCTTTGAAGCTAGTGGCAGCTTCGGGCCGGCTTTTTCTTCAATCCAGAGGACCAGCTTCTCGCCTAGGTTCCTCGTCAGAATCCATGCTTACGACACACACACTGTCATACCGTAAAGTCGCGGATAAAAGCCGGGTTTGCATACAAGCACATCGCGGATAGAAGCCTGAAAATCAAATGGGTCAAATGCATAATAAGCCTGTCGCGCGTAGAAGCCTGGCTTCTATGCAAGCGCGGATCGGGTAGTGCATGCGCTATGTACGGTGCATAGTAAAACTGCCGCCATACGGGTAGTCAGTGGTAGATCTACGCGTGCCGATGTGCATACAAGCCTGGCAAAAATATCATTGGTGCATATAACTGATGATATAAGCATGGTTTGCATACAAGCCTGGTGTGCATTAAAGCCTGATGCAGAAAGCGGCTTGTATGCTTATAAGCCCGGCTTTTATCCGCGACTTTACGGTAACTGAAATCCCTACCATTTCCTGTCCACACAGCTTGTCCACTTTGTTGATCTGGCCAAGACTGACATTGAACACGAAGCAAAATACTCGATCGGAAACGACGAACTGCGAGCTCTTGCGCTCTACAAACTCTGAAAAGGACGCACTACAGCACAAGTCACACCAAAAGGGCAGCGGTCAGGACAGTTTGCGCAGCATGATGACCCATTCAGGACTGCACACACCCTTTACGACGGCAGGTTGGTATCGTAGTACGTGTGCACATGTACAGCGCACTAACACTGCAGGCTGCATGCACTCTGCAATCAGATTTTGGATTGATCGATCGTGGACACGTGGATGAGCATCTTCTGCGCCATTTTTGCACTGCTTTCGAAGACACCGTATTTTTCGCTTTTGCGAGATAATTCGATTGAAATCCGTACTGCGGACAAAACTTCGTTTTTCCGTAAAAATACGGGCGGTTGGCAACACTGTTAGTGTTTCCACTGAAACTTGCCCAACGAGTGCCCGGTAGACCAAGGTGCACGTTACTTTGGAGTCCGGATAACCGAGGTATGAGTGTAGAGGGGACGGTTTCAAATAGGACACCGGTTGCAAACCAGAACGGACTCAATATTCACTTTCTCTCTTGGTATTTTGATTAGAAAAAATATGTCACAGTGAGACTACGATGTGTTATACTCCGAGCCAAAATTTCATGGCTCTGCGATGACCAGAAGCGCCATATCAAGCAGGTGAGTTTTTGACGTGTTGCTTCGCACTGCGACTTGAGTTTTACGACTTTCGAAAAATCAACTTCTTGTCGCAGGTAAACAGCGGCTCGCCTCTCGCCAATAAAGCACCGCATACCAATCAAAACTAATGGAAGCACACACAAGGCTTATTGTTACTCTGTACTGGCCGTCGTGGAGCGATAGCAATTACCTAATTTCAGACCCAGAGTGAATTTGACGTGCACTCTAAAACGTGTCCGGTTTGGAGCCACCTCTGATTTGAACTTTTTTGAAGCGAAAAATTGGGCAACTTGGAGGCAATGGGTCAACACAAAGGAGTGGCTCAGTTCGATTGACTCTGGCCCCAGAGCAAACTTCAACATGCCAGTTTCCTTCCACAAACATATTTCGAGTGAAAAATCAACGCTGATGATCGGTTTGGGTCTATACAAATTTGGCTGTCAAAACGTCCCGGTATCGAGCCGTCCCCTCTACCTTTAACTTATATGGTAGACCAACAGGACACCTAAACCCCAGAAGCCTCTCTGGGGCTATATAGGGCGCACCCAACGTGCCTGCGTGAACGTGTCCTGGACGACGTCCGGTCGTGTACGCTACCAGCCCAAGGCTGCCCATGCTGCCTAGCTTGGACATCTATTGTAATTGTGATCCAGAAGACAGCTCACGAGGCTGCCAAACACGCAACTGGCATGAGGATTGCCCCCGCGCGTGGCAAGGGCATCCAGCTCACGTCGCTGCCACATGGCGGCGACGTGAGCTGGATGCTGTGAGGGTGGGTGATAACTACAGTCTCCTCCCATACGGAAACTTCCATTATTTGAATATTCAATGTAGAGCTCTGCTTTTTTTTGGAGCTGACGGGTAAAGACCCTTGCCTGACGTCACACTGGTCTGTGCTTGCCTGGATTTTAATGCAGCACAGGGAATCCTTTTTTTTAATGAGACTACACACTGAAGTGAAAGTTTGCTGCAAGACGTAAAGTACCTTGGGAGTGCCGTAATTCTACTATTCGACCTCAAGATCGACTTCGAACTTGATCGAGCGGACCCCTGAGAACTTTTTAATTTGAATAGACTTTTCCCATGCTGCCAAACACGCAACTGGCATGAGGATTGCCTCCGCGCGTGGCAAGGGCATCCAGCTACATGGCGGCGACGTGCGCTGGATGCTGTGAGCCGACCCCTGAGAACTTTTTAATTTGAATAGACTTTTTCCATGCTCAATTCTGCCCGGGGAAAGCAAAGTTTCGAAAATTTCATTGTCTGAAGTATGCATTGCACCGTGATGACGGATTTATTGAAGTAAAGGGTTCAAACCAGGTGTTCTCGTACTTCGGGCAGCGTGTACTTTGATTCATGTACCGACAAGTAGATAAGTATCAACAAGAGTACATAACCCCCCAGAGTGTGCAACTCCCACATACCCTGCTGTCCCGACAGAATTTCAAGTTGACGTCATTATTTATGACGCAATGCTCCTTGCACCAGTGATTTACAATTATGTGTACGGGTGTCAACGCATCACACGTTTTTCTTTGCAATAATTTGTACAGGATCGATCGGCTTCGGTCAACCACAGGTTCCGGATTCGTCTGATAATCCGTGTACAGTGCGCATTGCATCATCAAAATGATGTCAACTTGAAATTCTGTCGGGACAGCACCCATAGTGGAGTTGCACACTCTGGGGGGTTATGTACTCTTGGTATCAAGTAATGGTGTTCCACTCTTTCCCCAGTTTTTAGGGAGAGAATTGTATCAATTTGCCAGCTGGTATCAATGGTCCTCATCTGTTGGACATTGGTTTGCTGATGTGTACCCTCCTCCTACAGATTCAGCCGAGGCCAACAAGCTACGTGTTAAAGTGGTGTATCGACGGGCACGTTCCTATCTCTGCACTGACCAGTACGTTCATGCACTGAACGATGCCGCCTATTGCTACAATAACAGTTTGGATAAGGATGAATCTATAACCAGCTTATACCGAGAGGTGAGTAGTGCAATTGCATAACAGATTGCTTCTGTGTCCATGTGTCACTCCTGCTGCCAGACTGACTCCTCAGTCTCCAATCATGTAGCGCGTAGGCAGTTTAAAAGATAGCAGTCATTGGGAGACATTGGGTATGTGGGTATTATCGAGAATGTGCTCATCAGAGGTTTTGACATCGTAATTGTATTCCCGCAATCTTTTCAGCAAGAAATGATGCTGTGAAGCTGAATGGATGCTGTGAAGCTGGACTGAACTACAGTTGTGGGCAAAGAAATCCGTCCCATGTGCTGAAAGCTGTGTCAAGGTCCTTGGATATGTTTTTGGACCGTGCACACGGCTACTGACTCTCTAATTGGATTTCTTTGACCATGACTGTAGTCTGTAGCTGTATACTATGCATAGTAAAATGTTCCTTCATCCGTTTTCATTTGGTGCTCTTTTTTGGAAACACGCTTATCGCTTGTAGGGAGTCGAAACTTTACCCCGAGTTTGTCGATGGAGTTGCCAGCGGCGCCCTTCAGAAGGACAATAGTGTCAAGTGTTGAAGAAAAATTGCTACACAGCTTTTTCGAATTACTGTTCAAGGGTGTCATCGATTGGCGAATCTGGATTGAGTGCGAGCAGGCGGTGTAGTCCGAGCAACACTGGCCTAATCGAACAAAACAAGGGTGTAGTATGCAAAATGTACGCATATCGTACAAAGATTCTGTGAAAGCTGTAAAAAAAACTCCTAAGTCCGTTTCCACTCCAGCCACTGCCGGTGTGGGGGCCGGTGTGGTCAGATTCCACTGCAAGTACACCTACTCCGGATTCGGTCGGATTTGTCTAATTGATCACGCTCACTCGGAGCGCACTTGCTCGGGATTCGCCCAATCGATCATGCCCCAAGTTTGACTTTGCGTAGGCAATAAATTGAAATTAAATTATTCCATGTACATGTGATTCAGGTTTCATTTTCTGCCTACAGCTGTAACGGTCCAGTACAGTACAGATTTGTGTCCATGTGGTTTCGAATTGAATTTGAATTCTTTATTCTCACGATGGCACCATCGCCAATAAGTGTTTGTGTGGTTGATTGTGTGTGTGTGTGTGTGTGTGTGTGTGTGTGTGTGTGTGTATGTGTGTGTGTATGTGTGTGTGTGTGTGTGACTGTGTGTGTGTGTGTGTGTGTGTGCGCGCGCGCACGCGCGCGAAAAAAAGTGAAAAAAATGAAAAAGACCAAAAAGTAGGGATTCACTGGCCAGAAAAAGCCACTCCATAGCTGTGTGGTGTAGACCAGGCTGAATAGTGGCGGTCAATTCTTCAGCCTTTCAAGCTGTTGAATGGTGCAATCCCAGCACAAGCTGCTATGGCTTCTGCTGTAGCATCGCTATCATCGCCTACGGCGATGGGCATCCAATGGTCCAATGGTGTGCGCGCGTGTGTGTGCATGTGTGTGCATGTGTGTGTATATTTGTGTATGTGTGTGTGTCTGTGTGCATGTCTGTGTGCATGTGTGTGTTTGTGTCTGTGTGTGTGTACGGTGTGTTTAGTGTGTGTGAGAGAGAGAGAGAGAGTGAGTGTGTCTGTCTGTCTGTGTGTGAGAGTGAGTGAGTGTGCGTGTCTCTTTGTTTGTCTGTTTATCTGTTTGTTTGTCTGCATGTATGTATAACTTATGTGTGTGTATGTATATGTGTATGTGTGTGTGTGTGTGTGTGTGTGTGTGCGCGCGTGCACATGTAATACTAGGCGCTGTTGCGGTATCGGATGGATTTCGGCCATGAGTCGGTGCGAGTATGCGGCGTGTGTGGCGAAGGCGCTGGTGAGAAGCTGAAGCGCTGCGCTAATTGCACCGAGTGCTACTGCTCACGCGACTGCCAGAAAGCCGACTGGGACAAAGGCCATAAGGCACTGTGTACTGCTATAAAAGACCCGTATGACGTGTGTGATTGCTGTTGATGTCGTCACATAGTCACCTTACTCTGTGCACTTTGTACGCTCAGGTGCAGCACACTAGCTTTTCTGTTCCAGTCTTTTTTTATCATATTCGGATTTGAAGTCTTTGTTTTGGTGCCATTTTTATTCTGAAAAAGTTAATGTCCTTCGCCATGCTGTACCATCTTGGTCGTGGTGGGTTTTATTTATTCGTTTTCTGTTCCATATCTTGTGAAGGCCTGTGAGTACATGTAGCACAGTGAGTACATGTAGCACAGTGAATGTACTTGGTAGTTAGTGTGGTACATTCTGTGAATGTGTGTGTCTGTGTGCGCGTGTGTGTGTGTGCGCGTGTGTGTGTGTGCACGTATGTATGGTGTGTGCATGCACGTGTGTATGTGTGTAGGTGTGTGTTTATTAGTACTTCGAAGTATTAGTCTTATTGGTGATTTCCTAGCCTAATCTGTGTTAGTCGTCCGATTTGCTTTTGGTCAGGCTTCAGCATTAGTTGGTACTGCAACTTTTGTTTCTTGTTCTCAATCCTTTGTTTCCCCACACATGTGTTCTCGTTGGGTTTCTTTTTACAGTTCTTCCTTCTTGTGTACGTACTTGTACACTAGGGATCCATCTTTTTCCCCGCAAATGATACGAAGGGCACCGTACTTCACGTCCCATATAAACACATTCTTGGGACTTTCTGGCTTTCTGTGGTTTTGCACTTGTGTGTGCCGGGTGTGAAGTGTACTTGCAAGCAATCTCGATGCGCCCCTCCTGTCGCCCGTGTGACTTTTTTTGGTGCCAGCAGCGGGTCCCCCGAGGGGATTTTCCGTTCCAGTCGATACTGGCTGCTGTGAAGGGAAATACCCACGCGTGCATGGATCCGTACAATCCTGGTCCAACAGAATCTAAAAGTCAGCAATGTGAGGACTCCGGTCTGGTTGTGACGTAGCACATTCAAGCGATAATTAGAGGTTGCCATATCTGTTCCCCAGTGAGGCTGAGGTTCAAGCATTGTATTGGACTTCCACAGTACATGCTAAACGGCAACATGTGAAGTCTTTAGACCAGAACAACAACACGGTTATCCCTACCTACCGTCGTGGACATGGAAATCCGGTCGATTGACGCGGGGCCGGCGCCCTCAGTGAGTACAGAACGCTGCGATGGAGTGCACGTGTTGATCGTATGGGTACTCACGGCTGCATGGCCAGCGCCCTGGGCCGCTTGACGAGCGACCGGATTTCCATGTCCATGACAGTACATGTACATATCCACACATTTTCAGAAGAATATTCTGCAAATTAAAATTTGACGAAACTGGTCCTGCGCTACACATCCACTCGGAGCACGCTAGGAGCCGTTGCTGCATGACGTAATGAAGGCATGCAACGTGCCACCCCTCTGGGCCATAGATTATTAGAAAGAGATCACAGATGGACTCTCGATACAAGTAACATGTTTGAGAATAGAGAATAGCCTGATTGCATATTATGTACAGCAGCAGAGTGATTTGGGCAGGAGACATTTAGAAACAATCAGCCAATCGCCAAAGCTCTCCAAGATACACTTCTGCCGCAACAGAACTGATCGGTCTCACTTTAAAAACCTGCATATTGATGTGCTTCGCATAGGGCAACAGCCCTCCAGCGGAGGAAATGTGCCACTTTAGCTGGTGTACCTGCTGGGAGGACACGTATGCCACATCATCCCTGGTATGGTCAGTATTGCAGAAGGGCAGTGCTGCTGTTGCTGGAAGTTAGCTACTATCACTATTGCAGCATTTTTCATTGGCTGATATGTGTTGCCTGATAACGAACCTGGCTGTCCGATTGACAGGTGCAGGGATTGTAAAAGTGATAGGTTGAGCTAAGCACCGGCGGCCATTACTCCTCATTGCCAAGTCCTGGCCGAGCACATGCTGACCCGGCGCTCATCACATGACCACCTTGTATAGTGGAGGCCAGAAGTTCATCACATAACCACCTTGTTATAGTGGAGGCCAGAAGCTCATCACATGACCACCTTGTTATAGTGGAGGCCAGAAGCTCATCACATGACCATCTTGTTGTGGTACCATGGTGGAGACCAGGAGCTCATCACATGACCATCTTGTAGTGAAGGCCAGAAGCTCATCACATGACCGTCTTGTTGTGGTGGAGACCAGATGATATCAGTCGAGATTCGGACGTGATGAGCTCGTTCATTTCACTTTTAACTCCATCTTTATAAACATCTTCAAGCTTGGATCCTGGATAGCATTAACAGCGTCGGACAGAGACTTGCCTCCCATGCCACCGAGGTGTTCTTGCAGCTCCTCAGCATACACTCGCCACACACACTTGTCACAACCACTCATGCAGCAGTCCTGTGGAGCTGGCGGTATCGGCGGTGCTGGCGCATTGCTGGACTTTGCTTCCACTTGCACTGAAGCACACATTGGAATGACACACGCAACAAAACAGCATCAATCGTTATGATATTCGTGGGCTGGCGGAGCTACAGGTTACAGAAACATTTCAGCAAATGGTTTGTGCTCTACTGCAATACACCAGTCACCAGGATATAGCCATTGGGATAGTGCCATCATAGTGGTCAAAGTCTTACGCTGCTGCAGGAAATTTGCACTTTCTCATAGAGAGGGCACATTATGCTAAAGTAATTGCCATTAGATGATCAACTGCAGAGGGTTTTTTTCTTCTGTTGTGTAGCCAAGGACTTGGTGCGGCTGTGTGCGGTGGAAGTTCATATCATGATGAGGCTACAGAGGAGTTACCGTATGCCATTCCCATTGAAGGAGATACTTTTGGAAATGTACGCAACAGTTCCCACCCTTTTGACCAGGGATCGCACAAACCCTAGGGTTTTGACGGGTTTGTACGACTCCCAGCTCTTGACCTTTGGTGGGTGTGCGAGCCGCATGCACAGTTTCCGTAGGGTGAGTACTTCATGTAGTACTGAATGCGGCAAGTAGGACTCGCCCATCCGCCCCTCCCCAAATGGATCTACTCAAATGGTTGCTGAGGTAGGGGCGCTCTGGCGGGATTTTACGGTATTGTTTACTAAACCCGTCTGTAAAAGTGATGTTTCGGGCCAGTTGCCCATCATCGGCATGATCTACAAAGGACAGCCCTGGCCTACTAGTGCCAAATGTATAGCAGCGCAATAGCAACTGAATAGAGCGGTTGTCAGCGGACAAACCACTCGGATGCAAAGCCGAAGTTGAAGACAAATTGGTAGTGCATGTGATTATTTTGGACATACGAATGCACTGTACAATGCTATGCACATGACCGTGATACGGTGAAGCTCCAGTATTACGTAAATCCAAGGGCCGTACCAGGGAGTCGTCAAATACCGTATTTGACGACTCCCTGGGCCGTACCATTATTTATTAGTACTTTATGTCCAAAATATATGTCCATGTAGATTTACCCTATATCTGAGACTAAATAGAGAGGTTCCGCATAACGTAATTACGTTAGTAAAAAACGTAGTCGATCTACGGAAAGTCTTACGTAAACTGCATCCGGATCTGTGTTCCGCCATACGGAGTTTTCAAATCACGTAGCTGCCCTTGGCAACTCCGAACGTGGCAGTGTACGATCGGATCAACCTGGGGGGAGAGAGTCATAAATTTGTACCTCAATCCACTTATGGACCACCTATGTTATCAGAGCCCTATCTTCGTACTCTCCGTAGACAACTTTCCGTAAGTGGTGTGCAAACTCGCGCGGGTTTTCCCGCCCACTGACGTAAAGTTGCTCAACTACTGTTACTTTACGTAGTGAGGAACCTCTCTAGTGACTGGTACCGGTATCGTGTTCTTCAAAATAGTACTTCATATCCCATACTGGCCATAGTACATGACGGTATACTATATCCAGAGTACATGTACTCTTTTATTTCTAGTAAGTTTCTACTGAACTGTTGGACTGTAATGTGAGTTACGTAATCTGTGAGGGGGGGGGGGGGGGGGGGGGTAGTGTGAGAAGAAGCCAAGAGGGTTCAAAATATGCAAGAATACGTACATGATGCAGTTGACGAGAAAGAGTTTGATGCTATTCGAGACCAGCAGGAGCTAAAGGGCCTCAGCAAATGGAACATCTTCAGTTTCGGATATTATCCAGATATTGACGATCACTCGACCAGGCGATCGATCGCGCTACTGGTTTGGGGCTAAAATGCTGTTGAGAATAATACTATTCCGTTCAAGGTTGAGCTACAAAGCCTGTGTCTGTGAATGAACCACAGTGAACAGGTCAGGTGCAGATTTTCGCCATGAATCTGCAAACTGCAAACTACATTACATACCCATGTAGATGTCTACATGACCAATGACTATGTACATGAGAGAAAATCTGCATGATCTGACTGTACGAAATCCAAAAAAGTGAAGTATTTTTTTTATTTCGTTGCAAAAGTAAAAAAGTAGTTGTATGATTCATCGATGCATCCTTCCAAAAAACTATGACCTCATCATCAATCATCACCATGTACCAGATAATCGAGAGTGGAGTGATGTCATGATCGAACCTTTCTAATAAGTTTTTGAACCTTTGCGACTGCACTGCACTGCTGTTTGCGCCTGGCCACTCAGTAAGATGGCGGAAATCACGTCACGTGCAAAAACTCTTCGAGTTTCCATAGTAATACACATGGCGCGTGTGCACGCGTACGCAAACCATCATGTGTGCACCAAAAGCGGACCCACAAAAATTAAATTTATTTGAAAATCAACTAACAAACAACATGTTTGGGATATCGTTTGAGCAAGGAACTTACCTGAAACGGTCCTCAATTGGCCTTCCGCTTGCGCTTGGCCCTTTGAGGGACAAGTTTGGCGTGCTGAGGAAGCGTGGAGGAAAGGTGAGCCTTCAAGACAGTCCGTAGCTTGTCGACATCGTTCACGACGCCTCCGTGTCGCTTGCGAAGGTCGTTGAACTCGGCGTGAATACTTTCACCTCCCTGCTCAGCTAGTAGGCCCAGGCCAACTCTGAATCTTGCCAAGGCGTCAGGCAGATGGCATTCCAGCAAATGAAGCTTAGGCGTTACATGGCCAAGTTTTCTGGTGACGACCTCTTGCCGTGCTGTGGAGAGGAAGGTAGCGCAATCACTCTCGAACAGCTGAATATCTTCTGCTGACATTGTTGCGCAGGACGAGTATCTTCGGCGGCAGTGAGAGAACTGAGTGAGCAGGTCATTATACCGCTTTGCCACTACTCTGGCCTGGTCGAGAACGGATGGAGGCGCTGCTCTCTCTGTGGTGGAGGCGACAATCAGAGGCGCATTTGACAAAGCAGCAACCACTGGTGGCTGCAGGGCATGGTGAATATGATTGCCGATAAAGGCACCACCATGGTACCGCTGGCGACAAATATTGTACTCCTGCAGAGTTCTGTCCAGTGAGGCCTCACATGGACCATGCAGAATACTGCGGCTCTGGAGCTGGTCAGACAGAGCCTTCACTTCATCCTGGAGAGAGCTGATGGCGCTTGTGGTGGTGTGCTGCTTCGCCTGAATTCCTGCTGTGGCCGCTTCAAGCTGTGGGGCAGTCAGGTTGGAAGCATGGATCGCAAGCCATTCGAGCTGCTCCTGTAGACTGTCAGCTGCTGTGCGCTCGTTCTGAAGATCCAATTGCTTCTGGCGAAGGCTCTCGTGCATCTCTGTTGTGACAGTGTACGCTCGGCTATCGGTGCCAACTGCTGTACTGGATGATGCAAGGGCAACGTCCAGCATCTGGCAGTCCTTGGTCATGGCATCGAATATCCAAGCGAATATTCCCAGATCCAAATGAAGAACGGGAATAATCACATTGTCCAGGGACACAGGCAAGATCGGTGGCCGGATGCAGTTGTTGTGCTTCTTAGCGTCCGCTAATTTTGCACCAGCTCCAACAAAGGCAGCGTTGTCTGTGCACAACAAATCGAGACTGCGCGGTGCTCCGCTACACCCAGGTAGCTGTATCTCTTTCCGCATAGCAGTGCAGTGCAGGCAAGGGTGGGTTCCACTCGACCCTGACAAGCCGTACAACGTGGTCTGCAGTTCGTAATCTCCGAACAACAAGACCCTCACTGACCTGTTACGCCACGTTGTACTGGCCAGCTTCTCGACCTCACTGACGAATGGCTGCAGGGCCGTGCACAGATTTGCTGCCGTATCTTTAGCAGCAAAGATGATAAACGGAATGATGTGCCGTAGAGCATTGCACTGCTGTACATTAACGATCTGGAACGACATCTTGAAGGACTCGCCACCGTGATCGCCGCCGATTTTGACCCATACCTCATCTTTTGGGATTGCGCCATCATGCCAGTGAAGCTGATCTGTTGCCTCCAGCTGGTTCAAGTAGTGATGGACAGTCCCAACAAGATCAGGAATTGTCACCATTGCATGCAGCTCGACGCTTCCAGATGCTGCTACGAACGGTGTCTTTTCTGCCACAATGGTAAAGGGCAAAAGATCGTCGAGCTGTTTCCGCATTACCCGCTCTGACTCGAGATACAGGCCAAAGTCCTTCAGCCATACTTTCAATTTCCGGAGCTGATTCCATGGCATGTGTAGGTTGGCTTTCAATGCTAGCGTTGTGCCTGTCCCAGGTGTTTTTGGCATGACACCAGCCTCAATAAGAACAGCTTTACGCTCTTCCTCCTTTAGCCGGCTTAATGTGGCAGCTTGCTGGACAACTGCACCGGCGAAACTCCCTGCTACGCGCTGGCTGGTTTTTTCAAGCTCAGCGCAGCGTCGCCGCACAGTCCTGGCTGATGCATTGTTGGACGGTACAGCTGCAACTGTTGTTCGTTGCCATGTCTGCGATGGACCTCGGCTCCTCAACTGAAGTACGCCAGCATCCGCCTTGCTCTTCACTAGATGGCTGGTGAGACTGTCTGACACGTTGCCTCGGAGCTTTGACGGCGAAGCAGTGAGCACATCGCTGACAGCGGTGGACGGGCCGACTGTTTGCTTACCAGTGTTCTCGCAGTTCTGCACATGGCTGGCAAGTTGAGCAAGTGGCACTGTTGCCGGGCAACCAATCAGCGCTCCAGCATAATTGTCGCACCTGACCACTAGTTCGGCAAGGCAGCCCTGCAAGATCGGATTGGGCGTGCTGAGATTCGACACGGAGAGCTGTGCATTGCAACCAGGGCATGTTGTATCAGAAGCCAGCCACTCCCACACACATGCGGAACAAAAGCTCTTTCTACAGCAGTCTGCTTCCACGGCTCTCTCTAGCACATTGCTGCATAGTGTACATTGTAATATAGCTTGGCATCCGATGAATCTATCTGTGCTCAGACTCTTGTTGGCTGCATAGCTTGGTGTTGCTACATCATACAATTTCTGTAAACATGTACTCTGACTCTCCGAGTTGATCCCTGTTGTCTGAGACCGTGTCTGGTGGGTGCCTGTGTGCGTAGACGTGCACGTGGATGTAACGGCTGCCGCTGTACGGGCAGGTGGCTTTGTTGTTCTCTTTTTCTTAGCCGGACGACCACCTTTGGCGGCTTGCTCAATGGTAGTGCATACCCTGCATACTGTGGTACCATCCTCATGCACATGATCATGGGGAAGCCAGCTACTTGGCTCAGCACATCCTCCACCACAACGTGTATACTCTGACTTGCTCAAAGCATAATTCACAGCCTTGTAGCATGTACTGCAAATCTGTGTAGGGTGCACGTGTGGTTGGTCCTGTGTGATATCCACTTCAAAACATTTCAGAATACCCTCGGCATTCTCAGAAACAGAATACGTAGTTTTCTGCTTCTGCTTGGCTAGCGGAACACCGCCGACGCGACACAAAAGACCCAGTAATCGAACATGACGATCCATTCTATAGATCTACACGTAAAAACGGAAAAACAGCCAAAAAAGCGCAGGCTTCGTTTCGGTAGTTTAGGTTTCGTTCGGATCGAGTGAGGTGGCAATCGATCGAGAAAGACCTGAGGTCCGACGAGAAACTCACCAAACATGAAAAATAACTTCTGGAACACGAAGGGAAGGGTCTATCAAGAACGGAGATGCTACTCAATCGTGATGACGAGCGACATGAAGTTGTTTCAACAGATCGTGTCAGAACTCAGCTCAACCTTCACCGATCGTCTTCAAATTTTCTGGTGTGGTCTATCATGTTGTAGTCACTCACTGTATGTGGTTCTTGTTCTTCTTTCAGGCGTAGAACAGTCCTAGAAACGCAAGAATGTGACCCGTGTCAGCGAAAAATTGTTTCTGTGAAAATCAAAAATTCAAATTTCCAGGGAGAGTGCGTACGCTCGTACCCAGGACACTGTGGCCAGGATCAGGTCTATGATAACAGCAGTGACTGGTACATGGTTGTCTTCGTCTTACCAGTGGCATTGTTAGTCCCCGATTTTCTGCGACAGATTGCCGTGTCTTTGTCACAGTTTGTGTCTCATTACTTACTCTTTTACCTCATTTCAAGCAAATCAGGTTCCCTACAGATAATGTAATGAGAACGACCCTGCAGTGCTAGTGGTGTTCAGTTTGGAAAATGAAATGACGTTGTTCAAGCCAGAATCAGAGGTGTTCGAGATAACTGACTTTACGAATGCTACAGATTGGGAAAGCTTCACAACTAAGCTAGAGAATGTATTATATTTCCTTGGTGTTGGGAGCAAACGCCTGGATGAGAGCAGAGTAGATGCCTCCCCAGAATCAGCTGTTTCGTTCCACACAATCGTGCTGAGAGAACGCACTTTTTGTGTTTCCCTCATTGTTGCCAGTGGTAACACTGTTCGAAGTAAGCCCTTCACCGACGTTCAGCATGCTTTGAGTGATTACAACGATGACTACCCTGAGCGATCACACTGCTTGACGTATTGGTTTGGGTTGCAAAAGTTTATCATTCTTTCGCCGTCTGGTGACAAGTCATTCAGCGTGTCTGATACATCATTGGCCAACCAGCTGCTCAGCAGTCTGACCATTGCTGCAGGGCAGGCGCAATGCCATATACCACTGTTTGTACAAGTCCATCAGATAAGTCGAAATATGTACGACGGTGTGTGGCTGTCAGGGGATGGCATCCGCACGAACTTCTCTGTGCTGACACTTCCGAATGTGCCGAACCAGTACAACTATTTGTCCGGCCTGGGTGAGCTCTTCCATGGTGAGATGGGTGTATATAAGAATGTACAGTCGCCATTTGCGTCTCTTCGTTTCACATACCTGTTGCGTGAGTGGCCTGAGAATGTGCTGCACCGAGAAGTGGCAAATCTGTGCAGCCTGCCCGTAGGTGGTGGTGGTGATTGCCTTTCTTCCCTGCAGCTGTCAGTACGCTGGAGAAAAATCCGGGTTGATGAAGCATTTGACACTGCACACCACCGATCTCTTCATCCCAGCTCTGCAGGATGGTGGACGTTGCGTGCCATTCGGTATGACACCCCAACTGCAAACTCCAATTCTTCTTCATCTGCCGCAAGAACGTCTCAAAATGAGCTAGCTCAGTTGATGGCTGCCCTTTTGCATCTTTGCCAGCGGGAGGAGCGACTTAATCATCTCCTAGGTCGACATGCATTTCAGGAGGATGAGCCATCGGCAGAGCTTCAGCAGAATGTTCGTTCCGCATTGCACAGGATGACATCACCAGCAATGCGTGCTCCCACGTTGTCCTCACTTGTCCAGTCTGCAGTGGTTTCATCAGCTTTAGAAGACTCTCCGCTGGAGGACGTGGTAATTGACGAAATGATGCATGCTGTCTTTCCTGATATGACTAACAACAGCAGCAGCAATAACAGCCAAGTGAACGATGAAAGGCCAGTGGAGGAGGACAGTGAAGTGGATGTTGCCCCTCCTGAGAATTCGATTGATGCTGCACCGTCGCGTGTTCTATTCAAATCCTGCCCTTCTGACAGCTTGCTTGTACGCATTGCGTGCACTCTGTTGCGTGTTCATTTTGAATGTGGTGGCATCCGGTCACTTGCGTACGTGTGGCGGGAGTTTGTCCTGGAATTGCGACATCGCTATGAGCATGCCATTCCTCTGGTGGATATTCCGCGGGCAGCGGTGCCAGACATGCGCTATAGCTTACTGCAGCAAAAGCTACAGATGTTGCAATGTTGCATTGAACACAAGCGGAAAGTATCAGAGCAGAAGCAGCAGCCGCAGCAGCAACACCAAAGTGAGGCGTCTGGAGCATCAGCTAGTGAAGTTGAGGCAACACCAGCAGCTCAAGAACCTGAAGGCTGGGGTGATGCCGATCTAGATATGGGCTCACAATCTGATTCGGACAGTGATGAGTTCTATGAAGCTGTTGAGGAGCAAGAAAGTGCTGCTGCAACAAGAACCGCGGCGGTGGAGGCTGCCAATCAGAGTACTGCTGCAGTGGATGAAGCCACCGCCGCCGCCGCCGTTTATATGGGGACTAGCGCTCCAGAAGGCGTTCTATCTGTTGGTGATGAACTTCATCTGCTTGTGAGTGGCGCTCCACTCAACATTCCCATCACACAAGATGTCACTCCAATGACAGAGGACATGCTGGCTGAGCAACAGGCTATGCTTGCTGGCTTTGGAACATCAGACGTTGCACGGCAGCTTCGTGCTCGTATACAGAGTACTCAACTGCTTGCCGACATGGAAGCTTTCAAGGCAGCCAATCCTGGGTGCATACTGGGAGACTTTGTTCGTTGGTATTCTCCACGTGACTGGGTGGTAGACTCCACACCTATGACATCTAATGATACTGCTTCTTCATCTACAGCCAGCGATCCTGCCGATGGCGAATGGGACATTGTTAGTGAAGGTGATGTGCTGCAAGCCTCCACTACAGCCGAAGATGCACAAACAGGGACTGATGATGCCGACGACTCTGCAGCAATAGGTGGCAACAGCACTGAACAAAGTCGTAGTTGCCATTCTTCGCCAGGCGGTTTTCAAAGCGACGGTGAGCGTGATGATGCCGACGCTCACTGCACTGATAATGCTGTGGCTAGCGATAACACTGTCCTCTACACGGCTCCTGGTCACCTGAGTGTACGTATGTGTGACCCGTCTTCACTCTGGCATCAGACCTGGACTAGCGCTAGGTCCGTGCCAGCGCATCGTCAGCGGCGGCTGTTTGATGACACGCTTGAAGCAGAGAGGGTATTCCGCTTTCTGGAGGAGATGACGGTAGGCCAGTTGATGCTGCATGTTGCTCCGGTTATTGTTTGTCACGCTATAGATGGTGTTGATAGCCTAGCTGAGGCCGACTACAGTGCTGTTGGGCACTTGCTTGATATGGCTCGTGATAGTCTCGCCCGTGTCTTCACTGCATCAGTGGAATTCTTGCCACAGTTATCGGATGCTGTGCTTCATCTTGCGGATGCTGAGTCCAAAGCCATGTGTGCGCACTCGTTGCGGCTGGCACTAGAGTGGGGCTACGCACAGTATTCTGCATGTCACGATGATACAGCTCTGCCACTCAATGTGAGTCAACTCAAACTGTGGATCGATGATCTGCTCAGTGGCATGTCTGTTGTGATGATGATCAGGCCGCGACGGCCGTACCTACCTCCACTGGAGTGTGCTTTGCGTGGATTGCTCACATCGCAAGCACATTCAGAACGTAGAGCTGCAACATCACTCGGAGCAGCAGCTGAGCCAGAGGAGTCTATGAAGTATACTGTATTCCCAGCTGCCACAGCACGTGAATTCATTCTGCGAGACACTCACCCGTTGCCGGGAGTGCGTTCTCGCCCCACTGCACACCGCTTGTTTGCCGCCATCACACCAAAAGAGTTCCGCTTGGCAAGTGCGTTCTCCACAGACATGACCTATCTGTGAGTTCCATCTTCCAGCTTGATGTGTTCATGAGATGGCAGTGATCCCAACAACACTGCTGAAATGTACATGACATTGTACATTATCAAAAGTAAGCATAACAAAAAACATGTATATGTGGTGGTGTTTGTTTCCAGGGCGTGCAGGCGTGCTCTGTGTGTCCTTATTTCCGTTTTTTATTCGCTTCAATGTCTCAGTACAGGTTTATATTTCCTGGTTTGCTTGAATTAGTAGCAGGATAGCAGCATGCTGCTCTACACAATGTACATACTACACACATGTACTTATAATGATATGTCTTTTGGTACGTCTGTAAACGCTGTGATTGCTCATACATCAAGTATCAGTATAGCAACACCGTACTCGTTACACTTCTCTCTTATTTTCGTTTATTGATATCATTATGAGCGCTCTGTACTGGTACGGTCTGCCTCAATAGTTTCCCGCGCTGCGCTTGTTTCAAATCTTTATTCTCACAATAGCCAGTGGCCAATAAGAGATTGTTGTTGTTGTAGTCGTCATCGTTGCCCCTGTCCGCTTTGCACATTTGCGTAAACTGCCCTGCTGATATTGTTGTGCATGTTCTACTTGCAGCATTTCAACTTTCTTTTTAACCCCGACTTGCCAAATTGTTTTCACTTGTGTGTTTGGAGCTTGGAATTCAGCTCTGGTTATCAAACGTGTTAAACAAAATTTAATGGCTCACAGTGGTGTTCGAATACCCGGATACTGTGTATCGTGTGGTGGACAAGCTGGTCTCTGTTTTGTGTACAAAAATTAATATGATAGGCTACCTAGTACTGTGTGTGGTGGCTAAGGGACATCAGTCTAGAGGCAAAACTGGTTAGGGGTTACCCCCTCCATTCTCCTTCCCTGAAGTGAAGCTAGCTTATTATTATTGTGGTTTCTGTCAGACTTCACATGTCTAAGTCTGGCTGACCAGCCCGCGGCCCGCTGCCCGGGCTGGAGTTGCACATTATAATCACCCCCGCCCCGCCCCTCACTGTCCTGCTTCGGGGGGGGGTCCCACCCTACTTCCCCTGCACAACAAATGTCCGGAGCTGCGCTGAGTCATGAGCGTTCTCAACGAACTGGGCATGGGATGAGCTGTATGTATCACATGGTGCCAAGACGAGAGTACCGGTAATAATAAATTACTATTTATCTCCCATACTCTTCCCTCTTGACCAGGGAGTCGTCAAATACGCAGGGGCGTGCTCGGCCCCCCAACTAGGGGGGTGCACGGGAGCCGAGGGGAGCCCCCCCCCCCCTGCAATTTTCTGCAATTTGTTTGCAACCTTTCTTGAATTTTAGAGCATATTTGCATACATTACAATTGCAATTACCCAGATTGAAAATTGTTGGGGGGTGCACGTGCCCCCCGTGCCCATCGCCGAGCACGCGCCTGAATACGTGACTGTACTATAATCATGACGACTCCCTGCTCTTGACTGTACTTTTGAAACTCCCTACAAGACTAGAGTGTAGATCAGGGAGTCGACCCAAACCACTGGTTTGGGTACGACTCCCATGATAATTTATGGTGTAGAAGTTCTTTCTTGCCTCTTTTCTGTCTTGTCTGTCTCAAGTTGTCTTGACTTGACTTGAGTCTTGTCTTGGTCTTGATCAGGGAGTCGTAAAATACCGGTATTTTACGACTCTCTTTATGCTGAAAAAGTGAAAATGCATGATGACGCAAGTGGTCGTTTTTGGCGCACTTGTCCACACGGGACCACAGTGATTTGACATGTTCAAAAAGAAGTAGACTCAGCAGCTAGCAGATATGTCAACACGTATTCGGGAGTAAAAATCCACTTGATCAGTATTTTGTTGAGTGACGGCAATACTATGCCAATAGTTCTGATTACCCATTGATTTACACCTTGCTCTGCACAGCTGACTAAGCTTGCTATGGCCGTGGACTAGACGATATTCTGTAGATGGTGGCGGCTTGCTACTAGTTAGTCCCGATAGATTATGGTGAGTCGTCTAACATTGCCTGAAATCATAGAAATCTTATGATTTGTTGTTATCGAGAACGTGAGTCCATCATTTTGGAAGTACGCGATGCAGCGAATGAGAGATATTCACGTTCAAGATTGGTATTATGGGCTAGCATTTACGCCCTGTGGGGCTCTACTTGGCTATACGAATCACACACAAGAGTATGGAATAGTGATTTTGGTAGATCATGCACGTTTAATTCGGGAAAGCAGTTTGGAAAAGTCACAAAAATGTCAGACCTGTACGGCTGTAGCTCCAGGTTTGAAGCCATATCAAGAAACATGACTGGGAAGCGGAGGTGCCATCCCTACCTTTCTCACATGCTCATACATGCGTTTGCATGTGCGCGTACCCCCCCCCCCCCCCCCCATACACATCCAATGACACTAAAAAAATCTACTTTAGGCGAGACCAAAAGAATAGAGATTCCCGGGCCCTCCCGCACCAAAATCGAGCCAAAGCCAATTTTTTTTTTTGAACAGTTCATACATGTACAGTACTGATCGTGTGAGTAGATCTGTGACGTGGAGTCACACAAACCCGGGCTTGTACGACTCCCTGATGTACAGATCAGGGCCATCGTTGGCCGAAATATAGAAAAATTGAACGGGTAAACCGCGTACCTGTTGTCTGTAAACAAATTGAATAAAAATTACCGGAAAATCCTGTAAAAAAAGTTCAACATGGCATGTGCATGTACATACACGGGAAAAAAATAAAAAATTTAATTCGCCCGCCCGCACCAATTTCACATGGGTCCTGCGCGGGAATCTCGATTTTATTTTGGTCTCGCCTTAGTAACCAAAGTACTGTTCTGCGTTCAACTTTTGGCATACCAGTACCTGTACTAGTATTCCAATACTACAGTCGACTCTCACATAACGAACACCGTTGTGCAGGAGAATTAGTTCTTTATAGCCGAAATTCTTTATCAGTAGCCGAAATGCATCCACACCATACAAGCAACAAGTCATGAACATTAGGCGGTTTACAGTAGCCGAAATGCATCCACACCATACAAGCAACACGTTATGACTGGCATGTGGCCCATGGCAGTATGATTGCACCTAGTTTACATGCAGACCTATACCTGGTTCGCTATATCACGAAATTCGCTATACTCGAGTTCGTTACAAGTGAAGTAGACTGTAAGTGGAGTAGACTGTAAGTGGAGTAGACTGTAAGTGGAGTAGACTGTAAGTGGAGTAGACTGTAAGTGGAGTAGACTGTAAGTGGAGTAGACTGTAAGTGGAGTAGACTGTAAGTGGAGTAGACTGTAAGTGGAGTAGACTGTATTACTAGTACTAGTATTGACACTCCTGACTGCCTATGTAAGGTCCTATTTTGTATGTGTTTTTTTTTCGGGGGGGGGGGGGGGGGGGGGGTGCTGCTTACCAGTACAGTATAGGATCATGGATGTTCATGTAACGCTCGCTCACTTGAAGTTGAGAAATTCCATTTGTATAAGCGTCAGCATTTTCCTGATATGTGTTCTGTTTCGTTTGCACTTGACATGCATTGTGTAGATGTGCATAAAACAGAGGTACGTCACTGTACTTCACTCTTTCTAGCTAACAACCCAGCTTGTCATCTCTTGTGCCTGCTGCATGTATTGACACTAGTTCAGTGGTGCTCAATGAATTCCAATCACGTGAATCAAGTCTGCGCCCTGCGCCAGTTCACATATCCCAGTGTTGGAAGGTCTAGGGCTGCGCAGCGCCCGATGTGCCATTGATTCGCTTGATTGGATTTCAAAATATGTAATGATGCTCTCTCTCTCTCTCTCTCTCTCTCTCTCTCTCTCTCTCTCTCTCTCTCTCTCTCTCTCTCTCTCTCTCTCTCTCTCTCTCTCTCTCTCTCTCTCTCTCTCTCTCTCTCTCTCTCTCTCTCTCTCTCTCTCTCTCTCTCTCTCTCTCTCTCTCTCTCTCGTCTTGTCTTTGCTAGGCTCTGACACGGGGTCAAGATGCTCCTTTGTCGAATGGTGGCCAGTCGCCAGAGCAGGCTTTGGCAGCTTCTTTGCATAATGTAAGTTTTCCATGATGCCTGCTGTTTCTCCAAAAGCAAATGCGTCCATGAGTAGTTCCCCCTGTGTGTGTGTGTGTGTGTGTTTGTGTGTGTGTGTGTGTGTGTGTGTGTGTGTGTGTGTGTGTGTGTGTGTGTGTCTCATATGGTGCAGTGGTATGTGCAGCGATTTCCAATCGATAGGCTGCGGGTTCGATTCCCGGCGATTATGGTCACACACGTCTTTCTTCTCTTTCTCAGACTCCTCCTGACTTTTCTTTCATTCTCCTAGGTGGTTACCAACAGCCAGTGCATGCTGGAGTATGTGGTGTGATGTGTGTGTGTGTGAAAAAATGAAAAAGACCAAAAAGTAGGGATTCACTGGCCAGAAAAAGCCACTCCATAACTGTGTGGTGTAGACCAGGCTGAATAGTGGCGGTCAATTCTTCAGCCTTGCAAGCTGTTGAGTGGTGCAATCCCAGCACAAGCTGCTATGGCTTCTGCTGTAGCATCGCTATCATCACCTCTGGCGATTGGCGTCAAATGGTGTGTGTGTGTATGTGTGCGTGTATGTGTGCGTGTGCGCGTGGGTGTGTGGGTGTGGGTGTGTGCGTCCAATGGTCCAATGGTGTGTGTGTGTGTCCGTGTGTGTGCGGGCGTGTGTGTGTGTGTGTGTGTGTGTGTGTGTGTGTGTGTGTATGTGTGTGTGTGTGTGTGTGTGTGTGTGTGTGTGTGTGTGTGTGTGTGTGTGTGTGTGTGTGTGTGTGTGTGTGCGTTCTCTATGACAAGACTCTGGCTGTCAAGACGAAGCACATTGATAGTCTGGTTGCTCACGTCCGTGACCTGCGAGCAAAGCTCAACCACCAGTCAGAAGAAATGGCTGCATTCAGTTCAGGCACGCAGGAGCGTGAGAATATCCTCAGGCAACAGAATGTAAGTTTGATAACCCCCTGTCGGCCATTATGAGTGTACTTGTGAAATTATCTATCTTCTTGGTGTTTCTGCTTTCTCATGGGGGGAGTACATGTATGTGTATACCGTAGTGCCTTGTCTCATTTAGAAGCCTATTTTGAATACAAGCCTGGTTTTCCAGATGCACTGTCGGCACATAAGCCTGGTTTCAGTGCTGACATACATAGAAATACCTGTCTTGTATAGAAGCCTGTCTCATGTAGAAGCCTGCAAAATCCCCCCCCCCCCCCCCATAAAAAAAGATGTCGCATAAGCCGCAGCTTTTATACACGACTTTACGGTAGTTTTCAAGAGATCCCCTTTCGGCAACAGGATTGCGAGATAATGTTGCTTCATTTTGATCTGCTGTTTCTGTCTTACTGCCAGGCCCAGCTCTCGCAGCAAGTTCTGAAACTGGAGCGCACCGTTGCACAGCAGGAGAAGTCTGGCCGGGAGCTAACGAAGCGTGCTGAGAACTACTGTGGCATGGCGGCCGAGAAACAAGGACAGCTGGATCAATGCGCAGCTTTGCAGCAGCGGCGTGAGGAGGAGTCGCGCAATGCCCTGGATGCACTGCACTATCAACTGAATGTCCTGCGCGATGGCAAGAGCAAGACTGTCCACGGCCTGCACAGGAAACTCAAACAGGTGGAGTCCAGAGCTGAGCAATCTGAGCAGCAACTTGCTGCAGTGCAAGATGACCGTGATGCATGGATAGAAAAGGCCAAGGCTATGGAGCAGAGTGTGCACACCGAACAGCAGCATGTTGCTCAGTTGAGAAGCGAAATGCAAACTGTCCATGACAACTGTAAGAAGCTACACCACACAGTAGAGAAGTTGGAGGATACCAATCATCAGCTCGAAAATACTGTCCAGGAGAGAGGTCGTGATCTGTCTGAACTGCGTCAGGTAGGGCACTGTGAAAGTGTGTGTGGGGGGGGGGGGGGGGGTGTAGGCTTATGTCTGTAACTCTCTGTAACTCTCTCTCTCTCTCTCTCTCTCTCTCTCTCTCTCTCTCTCTCTCTCTCTCTCTCTCGTGTGTGTGTGTGTGGTGCAATGCTTGTAATATTGTAGACCAATGAGAGTCTGAGGGATCGATGCCATCAACTGGAAGAGCAGCAGCTAGAAGCCAACCGTGAAGCAGCTCAGCGTTTGAATGAGGCAAGGGACCATTCTGTATGCTTTTGTTCGGAATGAGGCAAGGAACCATTCTGTACGCTTTTGTTCGGAATGAGACAAGGGATCATTCTGTATGCTTTTGTTCTGGCAACGGTGTTGCTGCTGTTGTTGCTGTTACTCTTGTTTTGGTGTGATTTTGTGTTTTCTGCTGAGCCTAGCAATTGACCCATAAAATTTGGGTAGCTGCCAGTGCACTTTTTAAAAGGGAGAATGACGTAGTGGAGAACAAGGGAATGCTTTGAGACGTTTTGTGTTGTTCTATGCTTTGCACAACATTTGACCAGGTGTTTGTGCATACTTGTATACAGTTGAATTTGCATGACACTGTCCTCCAGCAAAATCTCTAAAAGATCATGTCTTTGGTTGTGCATTTACCACCATATGAATCAACCAGTGTGAAAACAGCTAGAGCAACGGCACCAGCACTAGGCAGCAGCAGTGCAAGATACATCAAAGTGTCAAAATGTGAAAGGTGAAAACTAAAATGTTCGTGTGATTTCCAGCAAGTAATGGTTATTAACGACGGATGTGCACAGCAAAATTCGTGGGACAGTGTGAGTGTGCATTTGACACTTCGGTGTAACTTGCACTACTGCTCGTGCTATTGTTCTAGCTATTTTCACACTCTTCCACATTATAGTTTCTTGTATTCTACTGTTTATCCTTCTGTTGATGGGAACCACTGATGACAGTCACATCACCTTATTCTGGCAAGGTGTTTAATAATGGATGCACGGGTGTGTGTGTGTCTGTGTGTCTGTTTCTGTGCATGTGTGTGTATGTGTGTGTGTGTGTGTGTGCATGTGTTTGTGTGTGTGTGTGTGCGTGCATGCGTGTGTGTGTGTGTGTGTGTGTGTGTGTGTGTGTGTGTGTGTGCATGCATGCGTGTGGTATGTGTGTGCGTGCGCGTGTGTGCGTATGTGTGTGTGTGTTTGCTATTCAGGTTTCTGTTAGTGTTAAGCGTGTTGTTCAGGAGTGTGAGAACCTACGTACAGATCTCACCAGTACACACAAGGCACTGTCCGAGTCACATCGGCGCGAGACCTCTGCCAGAGACCAGCTGGATGAAGCTAATGAACGTTTGAACTGCAAGTCTGCAGAGTGTGACAAGTTGAGCTCATCGCTTGACACCACCATGCAGGATTTACAAGAGTTGCGCAATGGTCATCATGCCCATCAAACCGAGACTGCTATGTACCAAACACTGCTCAAAGACCAGAGTGAGCTGCTGTCGACAGTGCGCAGGGTGGCAGAGGAGGAAGCTGTGCGCTATCAGAAAGTGCAGCAGCATCTGGAACAGGAGTTGAAGGTCGAGAAGGACAGGAATGCATCGTTTTCTCAACAGGTTATTGCTTGTGTAGTTGCAAAGAACCGAAGAAGTACTGTGCTTGTTCCAGTATGTTCGTTATTTAGAGCGCTGTATGCAACTTGTTCATTTGTAGGTTTGGCAATGCCTACACGTACCGGTATTCCTGCAGTACTGCTGTATTGTTTTGCTTTGCCCAACACGGTGTTGACTGGTTGATTTTCTAGTGGACCTTCCCATGCTTGCTGCCCATGACGTGTTCTCCCTGTGTTTTCTTGTCTGCTTGTTAGGTGATGGAATTGAAAGGCTCTATTTCAAAGTACCAGGGTGGCCGGTCTCTGGCTGATGCATCTCTTGATTCTGGCTTGGCTGCTAGCACCCTCTCTCTGGCCACGGCTGCTGCGAAGATGGCTAACTCCAGTGGCTCAGCGTCCGAAGTGATCACCAACCTGCAGCAAGAAGCCGAGTTGCTGGACATTAGGTGAGTACTAGTATGCACGTACTGCTCACTACCGGGTACATTGTGCATACAGGGCTGTATTGTGGGCTTGCTGTGTGTTGGTTACTGTGTCCCCTTACCAACGTCACTACTGCAACAGTCAATGACATATCGTGCTCCCGCTTTAATCCAGGACTTTATAGGCCAGGACCGTCCATAAATCAGCATTATTTTAGCAACCCAAAGCCCTATTCATGCTCACTGCAACAGCAAATCAAATTTGTTAATCCAGCACCTTCCCTAATGCATAATGCAGCCAGATCTATGTGGCACAATGGGGCCATAGTACAGTGCAACCTGTCTAAGGCCACCTCTCAAGGGACGAGAACAAGTGGTCGCCGTGGCCAGGTGGTCTTCTTATACAGGTTCAGTGGGTCACGTGACCATATCCACATGTGATACATCATTTTTGATCAGTGTATCACAGTGCACTCACCTATGCTACTCTAGCACGACTCGTGTGCCTGCGGTCTTCAGACCTGCCAAGTGTTGTGGATGCACCATGCACATCTACACTTCCTGCACTGATCTGTACATCTACCATGCATGGTGCACCATGCAATGCATACATTTACATGTACTAGCACTGTGCAACGCGGTCGCGGGTGGGTGGTCGTCGGTCGCGTTGAGCGAGTGGCCGCCTTATCCGAGCTGTTTTGAATGTGAATGCGTCCGTGACAAGGAAACGTGGTCGCCATATCCGAGTGGTCACCATCACAGGTTTTACTGTACATATGTAGCCGGGCTGTTTTGCAACATAAGCAAATGCAAGCATCGAAATGATTGTATAGTATGCAGTGTAAGCCTGTGTTTGTACATTTATGCAATGGGATGGTTATCCACCTAACCAAGAGTAGATAAACAAGAGTGTGCAACTCCGGATCTCTTCTGCACAATCTGCAGATACCCCCGCCTGCGGCGGATTTTTTTGTTGACGTCACCTTTTTTCAGAAGAACGCGCATTTTGCCCCAGAGCAGTGTGAGAGCACGTGCTGGGCACCGACTTTGTCATGTAAAGCCCGGCCAAGTGCACGAGGCAAAACTTTCCAAAAGACTCGCAGCGCGTGCATCGTCGAAAAGATTACGTCAACAAAAAATTCCGCCGCGGGCCAACCCATCCCGGAGTTGCACACTCTTGTTTATCTACTCTTGACCTAACTGATGGCTGTTCATCCCAACTGGTAATGTTTGTAGTGGGTTAAGTAGAAATATGTACAGTAAACTGCCCAGATGCATGCAGGTTGGGACCGAGCACTGTCTGTAACTCACAACTTACATGTACATACTTACAGCATACAAGTAAAGAATTTATGCCAATCAATATGGCTGTTTTGTGGCCGTTTTTCGTTGACAAGCCATTTTTGTGACTCTAAATGGGTCAGAAAGTTGCCGGGTAGACGGACTTGCCCGGATTAGGGACGTCCGGATCTGGGGAGTTTTACTGTACTGTCCCATCAATCTCTAGAGTGCGCACGTGCGTGCGTGTGTGTGTGTATGTACATGTGTGTGCACTCCATGTGTATATTGTGATTCGGTGACCTTATCAAGTCTACAGTATGTGTGCACTCCATGTGTGGATTGTGATTCGGTGACCTTATCAAGTCTACAGTACTACAAGTACAATGTACATGGCTGTCAAGTTGTCAACTGATGTATGTATTGTGCGGTCTAACGTTTTGTCCCCATCGTTCACTACGGTGGTCTGCTAGGTTGACTGAGGAAATGGAGAAGCATGTGGTCACGCTACGCAGGTTACATGATGTTGAGGAGGAGAACAATCGCCTGTGTGTGCTAGTGGCTGGTTCACCTGTCAAAGAAAAGCTTTACCGGAGGCAACGGTAGGTGAAAGCTGGAATGTCAGATCTTGACCAGTGATTATGCTAACAGAGATATAGGATGATCCATGTATGGGTGTCTGAGTGTCTGGATGCTCGTTTAGCTTGTAATGCCTTTACCAGGGTTGTCATCAGGTAGTAAGGTACGCGTGCTACCCGTAATTAGAGCAGGTATTTGGGTAGAAGTTTGCTCCTGGGTACCCGATCGGGTAGTTGGAGTACGGTGCTTTCGCATTGGTGCAGTAGAATGCACGGCTACGTGCTTACTGTACACTTCCTATGTAGCGCAAGTGCACACTCACTGTACAAACTACATGTATGTCGAAAAAATACCCGATAGGGTACCCGTGCTACCCGGATAGAAATACCCGAACTCGTTACCTGATCAAACCCCTACCCATTACAGCCCTATTTTTTACTGTGATCCAGCGTTCTACTAGTGCTGTAGGGCAAGCTGTAACGTTTCTGCACACGGTGATAGATGATGTAATCATGCAGTAGGTATGCCTACTACAACAATTGTTGTATGCAAATATTCTTGGAGTACTGTTAGAATGAAAATAAACTCCCTGCCTTACACTAAAATTGGTATTGCTTTGAAGTAGATTTCAGTTGGGAGTGAAACGAACTGGCATATCATGCCCTCCCCCCCCCCCCCCCCCCCCCCCCTCTAGTTGTAGTAGGTGGTGCTTGTTTGCCAATATTGGTACGTGTATTTCAAGTGGTTTTGTTGTCAGTTTACAGCTGTTGTTTGTCTAGAAAACTACTATGCCCATGCTGTGTCGAACTGGACTTTGTTTTGCTTTTCTTTGTCCTGGGTTCCTGCCACTGTACTTGTGTTATTGCAGTGGTCTTGTATCCAATGCTAGTCAATCACCTGCTGCAGGTTCCACTGGCTCTCCAAGGCATGCTGAGACTGGCCAGTGCTCTGTGTCTGCATCACCTGTGACATCACACCAACATCAGCCTCACCACTACAGCCCCTGCACGACCAGCGCAAGTAGCCCAACACCATCACTGGCTACGTCACCCCTGCGGACAAAGAGTAGTGCCAGCAGCATGAACAGCAGCATGCTGCAGCTTACTCCAGAACGAGAGGGGCAACAACACTCTCACCAACAACATCCTCCACAACACTCTCACCAACAACAAGACCTCATCAGCCTTAGCTCTCCACTCGTGAATGGTCTGGATGCATCATTGCTGCAGGGTCCATCCACAGATATTAGCTTTGTCTCACAGCCGACCAGTCCTGCTACAAGAAGAACCACCAACCATGCACAGAGCAGCAGCGCTGTAATAGCAGTAGCAACGTCTCTACCAGCCACACCAGTTCAAACCCATTGCCACACAGCCACACCAGTTCAAACCCATTGCCACACAGCACCTGCAGCAGCAGCAGCATCAACGGCAGCAGATAGGCGTGCCTGGACCAGTCCAGCTCGCAAGTCAGCCGTTCCATCTGATGCTTCTCTACTTGCTCAGTCACTTGTCCGCCGCGCACTCTTCCAAGACTTGCCCGGGACTCAACGTATGATATAACATCATATTTGCACTACCGAATAGGAAGATTTCCCACCCACTCGTCCATACATAGTACTTGGCCACTGGACCCTGGTGTTGCCAGCTAGACCATGCCGAATGTTGGGAAGTTATAGAGTTAGCAAAAAGAGGGCAGCATGCATTGGTATTAGAAAATTACTGTAAGACTGGGGTAAATTTTGTTTGCTGGGATGACTATTAGCCAATGGTTGTTGTGACTCTTTGGCATGTAAACAAGGTCCTTAAACCAAATCCTGGTAGCGGTAATCTAATAGTAGTTCTTCTGTGGATTTTTTCCCTTT